TTAAAAAAGAAAAGAGTTATGAATGTGTTTAGCCACCATTCAAATTCTGGAGACTGATTTCTCAGTTTTGTTCGACAACAGTTAACATGCAAATGCGTATCTGTAAAATGCACAATTGTTTGCTGCTGTGATGATAGGCAAAGGCATTTTGTTCGCACTCAAAAGATTTGAATAGTGCTTTGCTTCCTTGAAGATTTGGAAGGGGGGGGGGGGTAACCTGTCAACATTTGTTTCGTTGTAAACATGAAAGGAATTCTCTCAAAATATAATTCTTAGTATTTCAGTATGTCCTCGATGTGCAGTTACATGTACATTTGTTTTTTTTAATTATATACTTGTACTTGAATCTTTCTGTGTGCTGGCACCATCCTTCTCCAAGTCCCACAGGAATATCGGTGAATCATACAAAAACTTCCACCATTTCAACTGTTTCTGGCTATTGGCTACCAGAGTCTCCAAATATGTAACTTGACGTTATTGCTTTAGCAACCAAATATTGTTCTAATCTTTTCCGAGCAGATTTTATTGATGCTAAGCCCTCTCAGATCCCCTTTCGATTGCCATATGATTCGCAACCCCCGAAAAGTGGGGGCCATGTGTTCTCCCCTGATGGCAAATGTCTCTCGCACTATTAAGCTTTCCCCAAATTCCGCGAAAATTTTAAAAGAAGTCCCCCATGCCGTACCCCTCCTGTTCCTTCATATGCCCCCCTTTTGATGAGAAGGTGTTGTGTCATTCCTAAATTTATCATCTGTTCAGTTGTCACTTCCCCCAAATTTATCAGACGAGTCACCTTTCTGCCGTGGGAAAACTAGGGTTCCGTGTGATCATTGCTCACCCCGCTTCATACATCCTGACAGCTCCTGAGACCAGACATTTTTTAAAAATCTGTGTAATTTTTTGCACTTTTCTGTTCCTCTCTTAAAAAAAAAAAACCTTGAACTTTTCGATCTTTGGGATGTATTTTCTAGTTCCAGTCTGAAAGTTCTTAATGAAAGGAATGCATTGCAGGTGTTTTGTGTGATTTTCCTCTTTTTTTTTTTAGACCTTGGCCTATTTTTTTGGAACTGCTTACTTCAAAATTTGCTAAGTACGGAGAATATTGGCTGAGCAAAAACAGGATACCAGCCAAAAAGTCATGCAGTGTAATGGCTTGTGACTGGTACTCCGCTAACTTTTGCTTATAGCACATAAATGTGACCTGCCATAGCATAATGAGGAATAACCCCCTCCTTTGACTTTTCACTTTACACATCATGTTAAAGCACAAATCATTGGCTTTCCAATGATACCAAATTTATTTCTGTAGCTTAATTCATTCCAAAGATACGCCGCAGGAACTTTAACATTGTCACGCTGAACTTCCCGACCTCATTTTGAGAAAAAAAAGACTTCGGAAAAAAGAAGAAGATATGATTGCGTCGCCGTCGGCTGTGAAAAGGTTTCTCAGCTTTTCAACTTTTTGGGGTATTTTTTCCCCAAGAAAAATGTATAGTGTAAATCTTGGACACCTTGGCTACTCAAAAGTGCAAAACTACACTAAATTGACTTTGACACTATTTTTCTAGTAATATAGATCCGCCTTCAGGCATTGATTACTTAAAACAAGCTTTTGGGGGACATTCCTCATTTTGCCACAGTAGGTCACAAATTTGCGAAGCGATAGTTTCTGCGTGGCATGGCACCTCTATGAAATTGGGTCCAGGAACTAACTTCTAGGATCCCAACTACACCGTAGGCAAGTGCCACGTTGGGAGTTATGATCATGCGGCACAGTTAAACACTTTGTACGTGCGCTTGAACACGTAGACAGATACATCATTGCTCCATCACTTGACATCCTACATGCACCTCAGATCTAGTATAATGCCCCGAGGAAAGCCAAGCGAAATGTCATTCGCATGTGTTGAAAAATTCATTTCCAAAATGCTCGGCATTTTCTTTCAGCGATTCATGTTCACGGATCCTCTATAAAAAGATCATGCGCATGAGGTACCTGTACCTGAACTACCGGTACATGTACATGTACAGACAACCATCGAAGGAATTCCACCCTGCTGAATTCAACAGGATCCAACTATATCATAAACCCGTTGCAGCCTGTTGGATTGAGCAGTACAGTGTAAACCCCTTGTAGTTGTACATATTCAGAGTCGGATTCAGAGTTGGACTCTGTTGGATCTAGCAGACAACTGAAAATTAGGCACAGTTGGAATCTGTTGGATTGTACCGTTGGACTCTGTTGGATTTAGCAGGGTACCGAACAGTAGTCCTGAGGAACCCTTAAGGGGTTAGGGTTAAATATTTCTTGTATTTACATGAGAAAAAGTGGTGGGTAGCCGTGTTAGTCAGATAATAGCTCAAAAACCCGAATGTAGCACTTTAATGACTAACTAAAGAAAAATGTGTGCATAACCTTTCGTAGCAACAACTACTTCATCAGATGCAATGAAGAAAAACAACTTCAACCAAGGTTTATATACAGTCCAGTACAATCTAAACAAAGGATGGTAACAAGTCATTGCTGTAGTGTGACAAAAAGCCACGATCTCTATTCAGCCCTCTGCCAACACAGTCCAGTGTGAGGTGATCCTTACTTACATCACCCTCACCCCCCCCCCCCCCCCCCCCCCCCCCCCCCGCCCCTCTTCAAGCTCCCAAAGTGACACACTTCACACTGGTTCATCTGCTCAGATTTGATCACTCGTCGTGTCAGGCTGGTCCAAGCACTTGTCAATTTTTCATGAAGGCTTTAAAAAAAAAATCACATCACAGAAAAAATAAATTGACGTGAGGCATGGTCTGTAGGGCCCTATCTGAGGGGATCTGGTTGATAGTTTTCTAGAGTGAGTTGTATGGAGTGAAATTGATGTGTTCGGATGTCGTGAGTCACGTCCTTAAATCCTTAACTTTTTTTCGCTGTACATCATCATACTTCATAGCATGTTCGACTAGAGATGATGATTTATCCTCGTTTGTCGGGCAATACACACAAAAAAAAGGAAGGGAAGGGAAGTTGTTTGTATTAAAGATTGCACATGTACACTGTAAATTTAACAAGTTCAAGACTCTGTCGCGGGGGTTATCTGTTGTTTCCCCGCCGATGGCAAGCAGAATGGGCTGTGACAACTTTGTTATTGGAGATATGGCCTGCGGGCTGGTTCTGAACGCGAAGACATCGCCGCTATCTTGGATCGCAAAAAAGCCGGACCAGACATTGAGAAAACATTGTGGAATTGGGCATGTCTGTCTGCTTGTAGGGGCGTGGCCGGTAGTTGTCCAGGGGCGGGGGAGGGGGGTGTTACTTTGAAGTGGTCTGAGAGTTTGGAAACACTAGATGTTTGAATGAGCTGTTTACATGTAGACAGTCAAACTGTAGGTGTGAGCAATGATGGAAGTTTTGTTAGGAGGATGGGGATAGGGTGCCAGGAATTGACGGGGGGGGGGGGGGGGGGGGGGGGGCAGGGACAGGGGAAATGAACAAAGGGAGGGGCAAGGGAGGACAGGGGGTGGGTGGGTGGGGGAGGGCGTTGCTCCTTAGTACGCAGCGATTGTTGCATTAATAATTGTTTCATTGCTTTGAAAACAAAGACACATACATACCGGGTATGCACTCCTATTGAAGGCATTTTTCACATTGTGCACTACCTATAACATTTCCCTTCTTTGAAATAAGCCATTTGCGAGTAACCTATACCCTTTGGGATTTACATTTGAAACATCTGGTACACTGACTTGCTCAGAATGCTTGGCACATTTTAACTTTGAATTCTCCAGACCAAAGACACTGTTGCTAATCACATGATTCGGGGGTGAGCTCTTGCATAGTTACAAGGTACGTAAGAGACGCTCAGCACCAATACATTGTTCACAATGGGTGAGAATGGCACAGAGACACCAGACCATGCCATAGACCATTATCATGTTGCGGCTATCACGATGTTTTCCCGTTCAAATCAACGTAACCGAAGCGAGGCCAGAAGGAAAAATAGTCTGGTTCCTATCATTCAGTAGTGAGTACTATTATTTGATACAGGGAACATGACTGAAATGGTGGCAGCATGATTAAAGTCTATAGCCGGGGTTTCTAGCGTAGTAACAGTCTCTTTGGTCGGGAGAATGCAAAGTTTAAATGTGCAAAGCATTGGATTAAGTCAGCGTTCCAGATTTTATTCAAAGTTAACTCGTAAATGGCTTATTGCTGTTTAAAGTACGGTATATTATGCACCGATATGTATCTCCCTTCTACACGTTTTTACATGTATTGTCAGATGGTGCCTTTATCAACGGCGCAGCCCGAATGCGTCTCGCAGCTGTCGCGCTGTCGAAGTAGGTAATCCGTTCGCAATCGGGGGCCTTTCGGATAAGGTCTTATGACCAACCAATCCAGGCACGATAGTCGCGATAGCGATGAGTCAACCATTGAATGGGAGTCGCAGTGAGCTTTGTCTTAGTTGGAGAAAGGATGGGAGGGGGGTTGGGGTTGGGATGAGATAGGGTGGCCTTAACGAGGCACCTGTTACGGGCTCAAGTTGATGGTTAGGTTTCCCAGCCAAGGCCAGGGCTATAGGCTCCAGGCATCGTATCGTGTCTCCCCCACGCCAAGTACACCTGTGGCATATTGTAATCCCTTTTTTCCCTTCAGCAGCAGTGGTGGATCCGGGATTTTCCAAGGAGGGGTGGGGGGGGGGAGGGGAGTGGCTGAAGCTTTGCAGTCAACGCTGAAAAGACCAAAGGCCTTGAACACAATCCACATTTGCACTATAAGTCAAAACATGTAGGGAATTTGTGGAAATTTGAAATCTTGTCCAACATGTGAATTGTTAATATTCGACTTGTAACAGGTCTTGCAATTTTTATTAGTGACCGGACTTGTGAATGACTCAAATGAAATACTGATTGCGACCGCAGTGTCGCGATGTGTATCCAGTTAGGTCAAGTGGTACATTGTTAGCGGTATATTTCTAATAGATCGTTTTTCTGTTCTATCTCTTTTGCAGTGCCGGAATGGCGTACACAAATTTCTCCAACGACTTCCTCGGTTACGCCTACACGAAAAGCGAATCCTCGTCTATTGCTGTCATCTCAGATATGCAGTCATTCAGCACGGACACCCTGAAGGTGAGCGTTAGCAGAGAAATCTGTTCCTGGGGTGGGGTGGGGTGGGGGAGGGAGGGGGGGGGGGGGGGGGGGGGGTGTAGGACAAAGTTTGGGAGGGTCAGAGGGAGGAGAGGGCAAATATGGATACCCGTAAGAAAGTTGACAGTGATGCATGCTTTGTTGATAAGTCTTCGAGTCCTATATTGGATTATGGTGCAGGGTATGTCCTTAAGCAGGGGACTTTACTCCAATAGTTTCCATTTTATAGTCGTTAGTTGTTTGACTTAGAGGCAGCTGTTGATAATGTAGTATAGGATGCAGAACCTGCATATTGTATCTAATAGGCAATACACATGACCTTCAAATTCGCCAATGGTTGAAGACGCTATTAAGCGCCGTTCAGTTTAAAAGACCAGTCGCGTGCCAAGAAGAGGCACCAACAACAGAACCCGTCAATAGAGTTTGCCCTTTAATAATTATCCCTAACCGCCCTGAATCCTCCAAAATCCTTTTTGCAAATTGGAGGAATTTGCAGGATTAAGGTTACATGGGAAAAGTGCGTTGCTGATTTCGGAGTACGCACTGTGTCAAGGTCTTAGGCCGGACTTTGTGTTGTTTATGCTCAGCCGTGCATAAATTTAGTCCTTGATTAAACTTGACATCCTCCAGGATATCACTGCCTCTGCCTCCGCCTATTGACAGTCATAGCCGGAGGATTTTGCAGGATTCAGGCAGTGGTCACCCCTCCATGGACCATATTCAAGAAATAACGGAGGAATTTGCAGGATTGAGGCTACATGCTATTTTTCCATGAGGCCAATTGGAGGATTTTGCAGGACTGAGGCTACATCCTAGCAAAAAGGCCTAGGGAGTTGGGGTTAAACGTGTCAGTTTTCAAGCACACGCTGTCACCTACATGCAACTTTCTCACAGCCAAAGAGCCTTGTTTACCATAATTGTCACGCGGATTTGTTGACACATCGCCAAGCCACCCACACTCCTTTTTATTTATAAAGTTGAATAGGATGTCTGATGACAGACAACGCTCACAACCATCATGTTTGGACTTCCTTCTTTTGTACCAGTCTGAGTCACGTTTTTGGATGTTCACAAGGACAATCATTTTCAGAGCCCCGGATTTGGAATAATTTGATCTGTGTCAAAGTGTCAAAAGGGATTTGACTTTGTGATTGTGTGATTGGATTTTTATATCAAAGTATATCAGTGAATGACGCTTTGTTTCTGATAATTGTCTGATAAAGACGAGGCGAGCCAAGTAAAGCTGGTCCCAGGGTGCACACAATTTTATTCAATTGATTCAGAATGACTATTCACTGGAAGTCTTTTAAAACTCTAACCCCCTAAGGGTTCCTCAGGACTACCCTGCTAAATCCAACAGAGTCCAACGGTTACTTCCTGCTCAATCCAACAGAATCCAACTGTGCCTAATTTTTAGTTGTCTGCTGGATCCAACAGAGTCCAGCTTGGCATTATTGACCACTACCCAACAGAATCCGACTCTGAATATGTACATTTGTACTAGGGGTTTAAAGCTCGATCCAACAGGCTCCAACGGGTAGGCTATATGATATAGTTAGATCCTGCTGGATTCAGTATGGTTAGGGTTAATTAATGCATCTGGTCATCACAACTGGTAGAATTTTGCCTATTCATTGGCATTACAAGGCGACCCTATACAATAGCACTGCCCAGCTCTGCAACCAGTGTAAAATGCAATTGTCTGTCGGGGGGGGGGGGGAGTCAGTCAGTCGGTCAGTGAAATAGTTAAAAGAGGACACGTTGCTGGCACACTAAGACCAGCTAAAATAAAAAAGGAACTTCAGGCCAAATTTTTTTTTTAAATAGTTCTGCTTCTGACTACATGGCATTTGAAAATAGGGTAGGTACATGTAGGTAGGGAAACATTGTTGGCAACATTTTTTGGTGTACGATCATATGGAGGCATCGGCGTGTAATCAAGGGGAAAAAGGTAGAAATTGATGGTTTTGGGTGTTTTTAAAATTTTTCCTATAAAAAAAATAGGGTATGGGCTGTCAGAATAGGGTACCTGTAGGTAGAGAAACCGGAAGCAGAACCATTTTTTTTTTGGTCTAAGTACATTTTAGGCAGGGTCATTTCCCTACCAGGGTGACTGAGTACTTTTCACAACTATATGAGCCATGCGCCTCCATGTCTGACAATAAACAGCCCCTCTCTGACCGTTTTGGATGGAGTCGGAAAAGTGCACTTTCCAATTCTAAGGGCACAGGTGGATTTAGGAAGACTTTATTAAGGATGAACTTTTTAATGGTAATTTTGAAACAGGGTGTTCCTTGCCAGAAAAGTCAGGCATCAGTGGAACTGTTATTAATTTTAAAACAGAACATTATATTTTGGCAATTTGACAAACAAATATTCCATGGACGCAAACCAAATTTATTGGCAACTCATCAATAAACAGTTGTGTCTCACTTTTATAAAGCTGTGTGTGTATCTTTCAAAGAAGGTTTCGGGTAATGAAACTATGGGGGGGGGATCGGTACCCACAGTTTTCGGTTGGGCATTGGGTACTTGGGTAGCCTCCCTTGTCCTTGAAATAAAAAAAAAAACACCAGTCATATTTTGTGTGAATCCAGGAGTTGAATTTTGCTGGCCTAAAAGCATGTAAAAACACCCCAAAAACCAGTGTTCAAGAAATGTAGGTTGCTTGACTTCTGCTCATCCCACGCACAATCAAAGTCGTAATTAATATTTTCCTAACAAGCGTTTTTTGCTAACTTTCCGTTTCCTTCATTCCCGCAGCAAATGGAGTACATTACGGACGATGAGTTTGGTATTGTCGACTGTCTTATCAGACGTGACATACAGAGTAAGTCAATAATGGATTTCCTTCCTTAACACGATGAAGAAAAAGGGTTCTTAGATGTCTAATCTGCTAAAGCAATGTTATCTTTTAGCCACATCCGCGTTTGTTGTACGTTGTTTATTTAAAAATAAAAAGTAATGTCACATTTTGAAAAAAAATTAAGGAAATTGCATACAAATATCTGAAAGTGCATGATACTTGAAGTTGGCTTCAGGACAAGGAAGTAAACCTTGGATAATCTCTGTTGTCAGTTTTGATTTCAAGAAACTCATCGAAATTTATAAGGCATTGCAGCGCTGCGACACGTCGTATCCCTATGATGCGTCGCAGCTGCGACGCGTCCTTTGATCCATTCGCAAAACACTTCGTAACTGTATTTATAGCACAACCCGGTGACTGTTTTATGTATTTAGTCAGCGTACTAGTAAAGTGAATAGTCAGTCCAATACTCAACAAAGAGTTGTCAGATCTCCTCTCAAAGTTTTGTTAAAACGTTAAACAAAATGGCAGACGTGTGATGCAATTTTAATGGAAAACAAGCTCTCAGTGGACTGTATAGCTACTTCGAAATTTCAACTGCAATATTCCACGCTAATTCATCATTATTCAGTGCATTACAGCTTTACACCTATTGTCTCGGTATTATAGTCTCGTGAATGTATTTGTGCGGCATAAAACTGGCTATTAATGAAAGGACGCTTCTTTTTTTATGAATGACAACTAGACACCTCGTAACTTGCGACGTGTTGTAAGCCATTGTTGAGGAACTTGCGACGCATTCAACGCATCGCAAGTTTCGTGAAATGGATCATATAACGCGTTGCGACGTGTTACACGTCGTAACTCGGGCTGCGACGTGACGCAGCACTTCGTGAAATCAGGTGTAGTCTGTCCGGCAAAAAAACAACAATTTTGAAAAAGGGTTCTTAAGGGTCTGGGACATTTTAAGCAGAATGGAGGAAATTGTTGCATTACGATCCAAACCATCCAGTGACATACACATAGGCGTCGCCAGGATTTTTTCTAGAGGGGGGCAAAAAAATGTTTGGCCAAAAAATGCTTGTATTTCTCAACACATTCTCGATTTATCAGTTTTAGAGGGGGGCAGGGACATTTTGCCCCCCCCCCCCAACTCATTAAATTTACACCACTTTGTCTTCGCGCCTCTTTTTCTTTTCTTTTTTTTCTTTTTTTTTTCTTCCTTTTTTTCTTTTTTTTTTCTTTTTTTTCCTTCTTTTCCAGGGGGGGGGGGGGCAAGTGCCCCCCTTGCCCCCCCCCTCGCGATGCCCATGGACATACAGCTCCCCCCCCCCCCTTCCAAAAAAAATCAAGCCTAATTTCAACACTATTTGGCAACTCCAGGCCTGTCCAAACCATTTAGTCCCGGTTTGACAAATTCTCCCAGTTGAGCCGGTGATGGGAAAACAGCATTTAAGCGTTGGGGGAAATGAAATCACATGAATTATGAAAACAAGATGGTTGCGGGTATTTTGGGGTAATGGCTTTCCTGTATCCCGTGGGATGGTTGGGCCAGTGTGCTCCCCTGAGTACCGAAACCATGTGGTTCTTTGAATCAAACCTTTTTTATTTTTCCCTTTTTTTTTTTTAAATACCGGTACACGTGTACGTGAGGGTTAGAATCCGAGACCAATTTCACCACAGAATATTAGTTATTCATAAAATTGTGTATTTTTGAATAATTTAGCATTTGATTATTGCAACTTTAATCCGAAACCTGCTAAATGCAACAGAATGCAACAGGGGTAAAAAGTCGTTGCATGTTGTTGCATTTAGCAGGGGTTTCATTTGAGTTGGATATTGTTGCATTTAGCAGGGTACGGTACCTCAAGAATACCCAATGGGGGTTAGGGGTTACGGTTAAGTTATAAATGAATGTACAAATATTGCAACATTGACATTGAGGTAGAATTTTTTTTATAAATTTTGTGTACATGTGTATACATGTATCAAAAATATTTTTATTTTTTAAAATAGCTAGTATTTTTACAGATGTACATTTGGGCTAATTGCCCTATTGCGTATGTACGCATATACATGTACGTTTACTCTGACAAACATTATTTAGATTAAAAAGTTCTTATTTTCTTGTTTGAGTTGCTCTTTAAACCTTGTAACTTTTTTTTTGAAAGACATTGGAGATGAGATTGCGGATCCTTTGGTGGTATATCTCAAGACGGATGCTGGCGTTCAAGTTGCAATGGATGCGTTCACTAACCTGACGACGGGTAAGAAACAAGCAGATCTTGAAAGAACAAAAAATCTTGAAAGAAGAATTGTTGGAAATTGCATTCTTACATTGATTACTTCAAAATGACAGCATGCCAGAAAGAATAATTTCACAGGGAGTTTAGTCCCATTACCATCTTTAAACCAAGTATGCTTTTCAACGGTGATTACCAGGTATGCAACTTTTTCTTGGATACACTGATTACCTCGTTTTTTACTACTCATGAATGCCATCTAGCAGGGTACGGTCCATCTCTTTCCAACACTATGCTCGACAGGGACAGTTGGGCCCAACTCGTCAAGTCATCATGAAAATGAATGAATGAAGAAGAAGAAGATGAATGCCATTATAAATTGAAAAATACGATACAAAGTCTTGTGTGATTTGGAGTTTCCTCGTTTTTTCTAAATTCCCAGTTGCCTGCCTGGATTACGTCAAGTACTGTTTGGATAGCTGCAAATGATGGAGCTCTCAAATTCCGGAATATATATGCACAAAACATTTTTTTTTAATTTTTTTTTTTATAAATCCTTACGACAATTCGTTAAGACATGTTCTCCTGTCTATTTGCTTCCTCAAAGATCTGAATGATGTGTACATGTCGTTGGAGACCATCAATTCTTCCAGAAGCGATGTGATCGATGGAACAGCTCAGGTGGAAGCTTCACTGGTGACAGTGAAGGCAGCTTTAGATGGCTTAGTACCCTGCACTGGCTGTCCAGATGCCACAAACTTGGCTAAAGTTGCAGACTATTCAGCGGTAATGATATACAAATAATGAATATTTATGAGTGCAATGGTGCATGGGCGTCACAAGGGGGGGGGGAGGAAATGCAACAAACAAACAAACAAAAGTAAAGAAAAAGAGGCGTGAAGTCATATTGGTGTCAATTTAATTGGTTTTGCCCCCTTCAAAAATTGATAAATCAAGAATTATGTTGAGAAATACAGGATTTTTTGGGGAAAAATATATTTTGCCCCCCTCTAGAAAAAAATCCTGGCGAAGCCCATGCAATGGTGAGAATATTTTCATGAGTTGAAATGTTCCATTTTACAAGGTGAAGCCGAGTTGAATGGAACATTCAGTCTTTCAACGAATGTAAGTATTCTCACCATTGCGCGAATGGAAAACATTCATTATTTGTTTTATAAAACATCCAAGTAGATCTTTGTCATTCGATTGGCGGATAAAACATTAAAGGGAATGTACAACATTTGCTTGTGCTGCAATATTCAGAAATAAATGGATTTGGAGGATTAGTATGTTATAGCAAGTATTGATAAACTGACTTGTTTCACGTTTTGGGCTTCTAGATGCTGGAAAAACCAAGAAAACCAATCATGTTCTTGTAGTCTGGTTCCCTGACCCCACTTAAGATGAAACAGAGAAATGTACAGACTTTGGGAGATTGTAAGGTCAGAGAATCAGTCTGGCAGGCTTGTACCCCTTCACAGGTGTGTAATCAATTGCAAAGAAAATGCGGAACAACTGTTATGAAAAATTCAGGGCGGTTTTTGAAAAAAGCCAGTTTTCTAAAACGCTGGTCGGCCGACCGGCATTGGAAAAATACGATTTTTTTGAAAATGTCAGCACACCAGGAGCAATGATTTTACAGGATGCTTTAGACTATCAATCCCTAACAATTCAGTAAGGTATTTTGTGATAATTTGATCATTTCGTTTTTGTTTGCAAATGTTGTATCTTCCCTTTAAGAGCAAATAAAACCACACAATTTATTTTTTTGATGGCATTTTATATGATGGCAGTTTTGTTTGGATTGTGATAGATGATGATGGATTGTGGCTATTGTCATCATTCTAACAATTATTTTGTTCGTTTTGCGTCCGCTAGCTTCGTGATATGAGCACCGAGATGGAAAAAGCATTAGGTGCCAAGAATGTCGCAGATGTCTTGTATAATGGCGTAAGTATTTATTAATTTTTTGCTTGTATTTATCAGTTTTGCGGATTTGGCCAGAGACACCAGGAACTAATGTCAATTAAGCTACTAAGCGCAGAAAATTGCTTAGAAGAGAGGTTATTTACTCAGCAGAAACAGGTTACCAACCAAACTACCATGCAGAGTACATTACTTTTGACTTTTGTCAGTTACTATTTGGATAGCTGCATATGATATACTCTTTAAAAATATTTCATGAATTGTTTTAAATTCTCCCAATCTCCCCACCCCCAATATACATGTATACAGATTTTTTTTCCAGTTTTGTTTTCTTGTGAGAAAACACAAGTTTTATCTTTGTTGATTCAATTTCTCTTCCGCAACAGTTTGAGCAGGCTCTGAACAACATCTCCACGGAGATTGACAAATCGGCCAGTTCTGCGGTCACTGAGGTAGAGACCCTGTTGGATGAAACCAAGGCGACGATCGACCAGAGCTTTGCCGAGATTTCACAAGCGTTGGTAAACGTAAGTAAAAGTCCACGAATGACGGGGTTCATACAGTCATGTAGGGCTGTACGTGTTCTACATAACCCCCGAAGACCGACACACAAAGGGAGAACAACAGATCCGTTCAGTCCTTGGGAATTGGTCCTCTGTAGTAGGTTTGTTGGCTTAGTCTATTAAAAGAGTGTTATATTACAGGGACAAAGGAAAACACAAAGCATTGTCCTCGGGAGTATAGTAAAACAAGAGTGTCCGTTTCCGAATACAACAAATATTGGAATATTCGATCATCAACTAAATATCTTAATAGCTTTTTAAATTTAAAGAAAACAAACTACGCAAGTACGTACACGACTGATGTTACTTTGTTGCGCCACTTTTATTGTCGAATGCCACATTTTGGTGACAGTAACTGTTTTGTCGTCCGCGGTTCCTTGTTCTTATCCTTTTAGCAGCTTAATCCCTTGACGGTTATGAAGTACGTATTGCAAAACACTCCAGCAGTCTGACATCGATCGTTGCGCATTTTTTTAATCTGCATGCTTTGCGTGCAACTTATGATGGGTGCGGCATGCAGTTTGCAGCAAGATTCGAATATTCGAATATTCCGCCAAACGTAGTTTTGATTAATCAAATACCAGGTTATTTGAAAATGGACAATCAGGAAATTTGTTGTCGAATGAGGAGTCACGGAACACTGCTATTCCAAGGAAAAATGTCAGGGAAAAATTCATGGAATCGTTCACTCTGAATATAGCTTATGCTGTTGTTTTTTTGGTGTACTTTTTGTTTCAACAGTTTAATACTACACTTGCTAGTATTCAATGGGAAATCAACAGCTTTTTCAAGACAATCAACCAGTACTGGGATTACAGGTGATGCTTTCATTTCTCAATCCAAACAGTTTGTCTTTTTCCTTCAAGTTTAAGTGGTGTTACCTTCTCGTCAGTTTTTTTTTTAGTGCCTCAGTATCATCTTTATTAAACATGTTCTTGATATTTGGGCGAGTGAGTTTTTTGTTTTGTTTCGGGAGTAATACACAATCATGCACACCATACATGCAATTCTGTGCCCAAAGTAGACTGGTGCTTTGATTCCTAAGCTACTGCACCAGTAATACTAGGAGTCAGGGGACCAGACTTAGATTTGACTGTGACCGTTTCAGCTTTCTGCTTACTGATCGAGTGAATGTTTGACCAATGATATGAGAGCATTGCTCCTGAATATGCATGAGATACAAATGGGCCCATAAATCAGGGGCCAATTTCACGGCGCTGCTAAGCAAAAAAAATGTGTTTATCACAAAAAAAAGTCTGGTTTATAAAAGCAGGTTACCAGCCAAAACTCCATGTGATGTATATTGCTCATGATTAGTATTCAGCTGTTGTTTGCTATAAGATGAATATCCCGTGGAGTTTTGGCTGGTAAACTGCTTTTATAAGCCAGGTTTTTTTTCGTGCTAAGCAAGATTTTTGTTAAGCAGCGCCGTGAAATTGGGCCCAGACTGGTGCTGTGAGCCCTTGACTGCAGAATTGGTATGTCTAGGAGACAGGGGACTAGACTTGAAAGTGCCTCCGACTGTTGTATCCTTTTTTGAACAACCGAGTGAAAATGTGACCAATGATTAGGGAGCATTGGCTCATGAATATTTATGGTATATTTCCCCGCCTCCCACTCTGCAGATACTATGGGCTAATTGGTGTCACCTGCCTGACTCTTCTGATTGTGCTGTTCAATGTGATCGGCATTGCCATGGGAACCTTTGCCTACAAGGACGTCCTGCCCACGGAGCGGTCCCGCATGTCCAACGCTGGTGGAAACGTGCTCATTGCGTAAGTTACGTCAACTCTTAACGTAAAAAAAAAATGAGTTATATACATGGTTGGAAAAGCCACAACGTAAGCTTTCATTTGGTGTATAATAGAGCTCCATAGCCCCTCCCGTTCTGGAGATATGGCTTACTTGCATATGAATTACTTCCTTGGAGTTCAAATTACACAACTGAGAAAACAGGCTGTGAAATAGCTGGCTTTGTTGTAGAACAACAGAACGATGCGCACAAAATGGTTGTTTTTCACTTTGTTCATCAAAATCAACATGTGTGAATGAAACCTGAAACTGTAGGTATTAAAGATGTCATTCATGAAAAAAAAAAATGAAAATCACATTTTGACGAAATTTTCACCCTCTCAAATGTTGAGCGGGCCATTACACAATAATGCTCAGCGTGACTTAATACCCTTATTTGTGGTGCCGGTCACATATTTGATGGAATTCACAAAAATTCATTTTTGAAATTATTGTTTGCAGGGGTGTATTTTTCTCCATCCTTTTTGGGCCGATCCTGATGTTGATATGCTTTGCTGGGTTTGCCGTGACGGGATCGACCACCTTGACCTGTGAGCCACTCAACACCTACGAGATCTTTGAAAAGGTTTGGAACAAAACATGAAGTTGTTTTTCATTAATGAGATTTTCATCACGTTGCCCATTGTGTCAAAGACTTTGAATAAACGGAGAAACCACCAACGCATCAGTAGAAAGCTCAGTTGGTAGAGCCCCGGAATGGCAAACTGGAGGTCCCAGATTCAAACCCCGCTCCAGTTTAAAATGATTACAATTCAGTTTCCTTGTGTGGTCCGTTTGAAAACTTATTTCCTGTTGTAGATTCTGCTATGATTGGTAAATAAATTCAAATCTCTTTTTTGTGTGTGTAGACTATTGACAAGAAAGACTTCCTAGAGCCCGGATATTTTCTGGGCGGCATTTTGCTTGGCAATTCATCCATAGAGCTGACGGCATCGTCCATCCTGACGGAGTGCAGTGAAGATGCAGCCATCTTCACTGCCTTGTATCTGTCGGAATTGTTCAGCGTGGATATGATCTCGGAGGTTCGTGCTCAGTGCCTCCATTATGAGCACTGCAATTGCTTTTTTTTGTCGTCTTCTCTACGCCCCAAAGACATATCATTTGATGAACATAACTCTCAAGGACAAGGCATTGTCTTTCCCTTTGTCCCTGTAAAACAACACTCACTTAGACTAAGCACATACACACATGCACGGTCGAGGACCGTTTTGAACAAAAGATGAACAATCAAGAACAACAAAGAACCTGTTGTTCTCGCTTTGTCTGTCTTTCCTCGGTGTGTATGGTTCAAGCACCCCCCCCCCAACAGTTTTTACTCTACCTCTTAGGACCCTCATTGTTCTCTTCTTTTTGACTCCTAGATTTCATCTTTGCAAATCAATATAAAATCAACTGTGAGAGATCTGATTTTGCTTTTTACAGGAATTTATAGAATAATCCAGGGTCTTCATTTTCAAACCGAACATAGCCCAACACCGTGTGTTTGTTCCTTCAAACTCCAGTTTTGTCCTGTTTTTTTTTGTGTGTGTGTGCGTGGAACATTTTGATCCTACTGTTCTACTTTTTCACCTGGGTCTGCTTGAAAGCCTGATATCGATCAAAATCAAATAATCTACCGTGTCATGTTTGTTTTGTTCTGTCTTTTTCAACAGGAATTGAATAAGGGGAAAGCAGAGGTTTTGGATAAGCTCAAGAACGAAATTGACATCCCATATTTGAACCTTGTTCCCGATAGCTTGAACGACGATCTGAACAATGCCTTTTCTGCTATTGGCCTAGGGGGCATAGATTATAATTTTATAAAAACGGTGGTAAGTACAGTTTACATTATGCTTAAAGGGAATATACAACATTTGCAAACATCGAAAAATAAAACTATCAAGTTTTTACAAAATACCTTACTAGCATGATGGTAAATGACAGTCTAAAGCATCCTGTAAAATTATGGCACACAGTGTGAAGTCATTTTCAAGAAAATGGTATTTTTGTATACATTTCCTACGGTGGTCGGCCGACCACCGTTGGAAAAACCTAACTATTTTTCAACTTCTGCTCCAGATTTACCATTTTTTACAGTCCAAATTTTGTTTGCTATTTGTTACATGGTCATGAATGGGTGCAGGCCAGCTGCACTGGTTCCCTTACCTTACAATTTTCCGGCATCTACAAATTGATCCATTTTATCCTTATTGGGGTCAGGGAACCAGACTAATTGAACATTTTTGTTTTTCTTGGTTTTTCCAGCATTTTCGAACACAAAACTTCAAACATGTCAGTGTAACAATATTTGATCTATTATACTAACCCCTCTAATAGTTCATTTCTGAAAATTACAGCAAAAGCCAATGATGTACATTCCCTTTAATACGGTTATGCGCAGCTACCCGCTCATGACGTTTCGTCCACCACACTAAAAGACTTCTGGCAACTTTTACATCAGTTCCTGATACCCAAGTAATATTGTTGGGACTGGTAATGCTTTCATGTCATATTTGTCTTTAAAGATGGCGGCCCCTGTGACAGTGTCAAACCTGACGTCCTTCGCTCAAGACCTTAGAGTTGCAGCTTTAATTTCTGGAAACAATGTAAGTTTCATCATGAAGATAGTTGATTAGGACCTTGGATGGATCTTACAATCCTCCACCGGGTTTTGCCTGAATCATACTCTTTTTGTAGCAAAACAAGTTTACGTAGGGTTCCCAACTTCCTGCTGTGGTCTTCATACCCAGATATGTTTATAGACTACTGTTTTGACCACAGTTAAAGGTGCAGTCCATCATTTGCAGCTATCCAAAAAGTAGCTGACGTAAATATTGTTGAAAAGCATACTTGGTTGAAAGATAGTAAGGGGACTAAACTCCCTGTGAAATTATTCCTTCTGGCAAGCTTTCATTTTGAAGAAATCAATGAAAGATGGCTTTTCCAACGATGTGTCTACAATAGCAGTTCATTTTTTTATTTGGCGAAGTGCGCACAAGCATTGACATGATGCACATGTGCATGTAGTTGCTATAATTCGTCGGATCGGTTGGCGACATCGCGTAGCTGCTCAGTGAGAACATGTCTCGGACTCTGAATTCAGGCCCAGTTCCAAACATGACTCAGCAACATTTGATTTCAAATCGAGATTCTAGACTTTTGTTTTCTCGGAATATACAGCATTCACTGAGCTGAAACTTCATCAGGTTAGCTGTTAAGCACCCTTCTTTAGATTTTGAGCACTTTTGTTGCTTCAAACAAACATAATGCACAAATTGCAAATGATGGACGCTACCTTTAAAAGGTTTCCTGAATTTGAAGTGCACTGGCATGTAACAGTCCGTCGGTCAAAAGAGCATGGAATTTCAAAACATGTTGAGTCCACCTGTTGGCAGCATTTGGCAGCATTAGTGAACATATGTAAATGAATGAAAACAGCAGTAACGTTACAAATGCCCAACCATTTTTTTCCCCCAGGCTTCTGAACTGAACAGGTTGGCAGATGAACTGGATAGGATTCGCACAGTGGAAGTTGAAGCTGTTAACACCCAAAAGGTGAGAAGCAAATTGTGAAAAAGTATCCTGCTCAGGGACATGTACACATAGAGTATCTCCAGAGACTTAATCAAGTCAAATCACCAATCAAGGTACAAGTGAGGTCACAAGCAACAGTGGCTGGCCAATGACAAAAGAGTCGCATTGCAATGATTCATTTGAATAGTACAGTGAAATCTCGATAAGTCAAACTCTGACAACTGTTAAGTCAAACAAAGAATCCCTTCCCTTCAGTAGTATAACAATGATATACAACCCTGCTTAACTCAAAACTCTGCTGAAGTCAAAGTTAGAACCTGTTCCCTTGAGGTTTGACTTATCGAGATTTCACTGATGAAATTTAAGGGTTTGCATATTGGACATGATTAATGAATTGGAGGTTTGCGGTAACATCATGTGAATGATATCTCTTTGAGTTGTGTGGTTCTGAGAAGAACCAGTTGGCTTAACTACATGGTACTCTATTAAATCTATGAGTACAGAAATACATGCCTCTGAAAAAAAGTCTGTTGCATTGCATTTCAAGTAGGCCATCAGCCTGGGGGTTTGGTCTGTATCAAATTAGGGCATAAATGATTATAGTGCGCATGCGTAAGGTATACCGCCCCTAGAGTGGTAACAAGCATCTTGATGGACATTTTGAAAAAAAGGGTGATAACGCCAAAAAAGCTGCCACCGCTGCAATGCTATCACATATTTTCCAACTCTGGAGGTGTATACCGTGCCAAAAATCGCTATGACGATTATTCCCCTCATTTAATACAACATTTTGGACCGAGGCTGATGGCCTACTATTCAAAACGTTGAGTTAAACCAACTGGTTCTTCTCAGAACCACACAACTCACAGAGAGATATCATTCACATGGAGTTACCGTAAACCTCCCATTCATAAGATGGAATTTGTGTCGGGGTGATGTAAGTTCACTATTTGGTTGTGCGCTTCACAGAAGTATTGAATGGATCATTTTAATAGATCACAATAGGTCACTTGTGACTGGCTAACATTTTGACGAGTGATCGCCCGTGACGTCTCGACTACGACTCTAGCAGTCTTTCGTTATATGTCATGTTTGTTTGTTGTCCTGTTATTCCACAGGCGCTCATTGTCAACAACGCTGACAAACTTGTTGCCCTTAACATAGATCTGCCAGGCAGCATCATGAACACTGTAACTGCGGCAGATAGTGCAGAGTCTAAAGTCAACCTACCAGCAACGGACGAGAAAGTTCAAAATATCACAACGGACTACGTGAACAAAGTGTTCAACTACGCGGACCAGTATGTGGATAAGGTGGACTCGCAGGTAGGGGCCGAGAAGCCGAAGTTTATGTGACCCTTCTGTTTTTGAATTTTTTTTTTTTTAAGTACACAACAAATTCATTGCCTATCACTCAATTACGTAGCAATTCCTGTTGCCTAGCGTGCCTCAATCTGTGCTGCACTGGTCTAGAAATTGAAAATTCCTTTAACGTCTTCGGGAAGTTGGATAGTAGGGCTACAATCTGGTACCAAACCAGAAATGTTGATTTACCAATTGTTTTCCTCCTGAAGTTGATTCTTTGACTCAAGCATCTTCCCTAATTTTTTTTGGGTCTCAGTTGGACGAGGACGTAGCCAAGTGTCAGCCTGTGTGGCAGGCCTACGACACAGCTGTGAGCCTGCTGTGCTACTACATCTTTGATTCTGTGGTAAGTCAACCAATTTCTTTTTCCCCTGAGAAGTTTGGCGATTCACCATGTGAAGTTACCATCTCTATTAAGATAGGTGGCTCTGGCAGTGTTATAGTCACAAGTCCTCACAAACCCCAAGACAAGTCCCAAGATAAGTCCCCACAAGTCATCACAAATCGTCATGTGTCCTCACAAGTCCCCACAAGTTCCCACAATTATATCACAAGTCTTCACATGTCCCCACAAGTCCCCACAATGTTATCGCAAGTCCTCTCATGTCCCAACAAGTCCTCGCAAGTCCCAACCAGTCCATCACAAGTCCCCACAAGTTCCCACAATTATATCACAAGTCCCCACAAGTCTCCACAATGTTATCACAAGTCCTCACATGTCCCAATAAGTCCTTGCAAGTCCCAATTACTCCATCACAAGTCCTCACAAGTCAATCACAAGTCTCCACAAGTCCCAACAATTTTATCACAAATCCATACAAGTCCCCAGCAATCATTTAAGTCCATCACAAGTCTCCACAAGTCAAAACAGGTCCCCACAACTCCCCACAAGTCCTCACAAGCCCAGAAGTCCAGCACAAGTCCTCCAATCCCAAGTCAAGTCGCAAGCTATCAAAAGGGACTATGACAAAGGCCTTCCTTTTGTTATCGTGCGTCCCCAGTTCCTTGTAACCCGAGTCGTGAAAAGACCTGTCGACTTTCGTGTGACCGGACTCGACTACAACTCTGGGTTGTGAGAAAAACCAGGAGCCTTCACACCTTACTACCCATGCTAAAGCCTAAAATGAATTGATTCAGTTTTCCTGTCTAATCAATCACAACTTCTGATGCCATGACAGAGGCCTATTTTTTTTTTTTTGGCCCGAAGGCTTTTTCTTTCTTCAGTAAACTGATGTAGTATTTCCTCTTCCTGCTCTGTCTGGCGATTGCTAAGATTTCCCCGGAGACGGAAAAAAGCACTGAAAGTTCACGAACCAGTCTCCCAAGAGCCTTCAAATTATGTTCTGAAATTTAGCAAGAAATGTCCGTCAGAGTTTAAGAAATGTCTTTTCTAAATTGCAAAACGGCAAATGCTGTTTGTGAAACTGTTCCTTGAATGCGTGTCCAAAATCAAATATTTTCTGCACGTTAACGTGCAGATTTTGCATTTGTAAATTTTGAAGAGAAAACCCATAAGGGCAATTTCAGTGTTAGGCAATGCCGTGACAGTGATTTTAAGAGTTCGGTGAATAAACCTGAAAATGTATTTTTTGAGTCTCATACATCCATCTTCTAGTAACAGTCAAGGAGATTACAGACTAGGAGTTTCGGATCATTTCTCTGAATCATTAACTAGGGAATAAATGTGTGCTTGGCTGGTATTAAACACTATGTTTAAGACCGGTTGGAGTCTGGATGCTGATAATTACCCTTGCCGAACTGCGCTATGTGGCGCAGAACACAGCTGTGCCGCAGAATGCTGCTGGGGCACAGCTGTGTACTGCGCTATGTGGCGCAGAACACAGCTGTGCCGCAGAATGCTGCTGGGGCACAGCTGTGTTCTGCGCCACTAGCGCAGTCCGGCAAGGGTAATTTGTGTATTTTGAATTTAGGACTATGAAATACTTGACTCACTTGTAGTATTTCGCATACCTAAGTGAGGATTGTGAACGTTCAACTACTTAAACGAGAAAAGGCACTGGATTCATAGGAGTCAAAATTTCATGTGACACTAGAAAAGTGTTAAAGACTAACCAGCCGGTCTTCATCAGCTGTTTAAAACCGGCCACATGACAGGCTCTCGACCAATAGGATTGGGTAAACTGTCTTAGGTGTTTATGAATTAGATATCATGGATAATTTGGTGTGTCATGGACATTACACTTCCGTTCATAATGCTGGATTATCCCATAAGATTTTCCTTTTAATCAGGGAAATCACCGTGAATAAAGGATACCTTTGCTCCCCCCCCCCCTCCTTTGTTTCCAGAACACCCTCTGGTTCACCACGGGCTGGTGCGCCATCTTCCTCCTTCCGTCCATCTTCGTCTCGGTCCGACTGGCCAAGTACTACCGCATCATGGACGAGGAGGCCCCGCCCAAGGCCAAGAAGTCCAGGAGGGGGGCGTCGTCCTCCCGGGGGAGGCGGGTCAACCAGGACATGGCCTTGGAAGACCTGCCCGAGGACGGCCACCACACAGGTGATGGGTGGATCCGTAGATATAACTTGACCTATATGCCACTGAGGACCATGGGGACAGACCACGTTTGAAATAAGGGCCCATGCAAAAATCCCATAGTCGATACCATGGTGAAAGATTGTTTGACCATGGATTGGTCGATCTGTAGATACAACATATCCTACATGTATGTGCCACTTTGGACCATGGGGACAGGCCACTTTTGAAATTAGAACCCATACCAAAATCCCATGCTCGATACCATGGTAAAAATTTACTTTTACCGTGGATTGGTGGATCCATATATGTATGTATTGAATGAAAGGTTTGCGGAAACACCATGTGGGAATAATTTCTCAAACTAAGAGAATGGTTCTAAAAAGAACCAGAGGTATATAGTTTTGTACCACTGGTTCTTTTCAGAACCTTTCTTAGGGCCCCATAAAAAGACCTGAAAACCCATATTTAGTCTCATAACAAGAACAGCCAACACACTGATGACGGGTGAAACCTTAGATAGAACATGTGCTTTGTGCCATTTAGGACTATAAGACCAGACCAGGCATAAAAATAGGCCCCATACATACCTGTTAGCCCCATACCTAGACCCACACAAAGGCCCAATACAAAACCCATATTTACCCATAGTTTGTCCCATGGTTGGGGCTCCTATGGCCATATGCCACTTAAGACAATAGGGTTAGACCATGCTTTTAAACAATGATCCCATACAAAATCCCAATACTTGGTCCTATCTTGAGATTCCTGTGGCCTCCAATGTGGTTCCTCTTTTTAAGATAATAGTACAAAATAGTACTTATGTTGAAAACTCCCATTTTTTCTAGAACGCATGTTTCCAAAAGGATTGATCCATTTAAAAAAAAAAAAATCGTTTTTACTCTGACGACAGCTACGCACTTCATCATTTGTTGCTTTTTTTATTTAATATTTTTTTTTCCATGGTTTGGAATGCTGCTGTTTTGTAAAACCACAAGTCTTTCAGTCTGTCTTTTCAGGAGTTAATTGGGGACGATCGTTTTGTGTCTTTGTCTATTGTTGAATTGCATGTTTTATGTGCGTCTCATTGCAGTCTGCGTTTCTTTAAATTGTGCATATTTGTTCACAAGAGCATGCTGGCAAAAAACGCAGAGTGTTTTTCTTTTAATTTGTGGATAGGACATAGAAAAATGTCGTGTGACAATCAAAAAAAAAAATATTGTTTCATTTTCATGCAGATTTCTTACCATTTTCTACTTAACATTTTTATTTGTTCTGTCAAAAACCAGACTCTTCTTCATAGTGATTAACTATGAAGAAATGACCTCTCAAGCCCCTCCCCCACTAAAACCCAAAACGTGGTTGATGAAGTGTGAACCATACCATACATGAGTACATGTACACAATTTTAAAATCATATCTTGAACATAACTACAGTGAAATCTCGATATTAAACTCAAAACACCTGTTAAATCTCGATAACTCAAAACACCTGTTACATGTAAGTCAAACAAAGAATCCATTTCCTTCAGTAGTATAACAATGATATGCAACCCTGCTTAACTCAAAACTCTGCTGAAGTCAAATTTTGAACCTGTTCGCTTATCGAGATTTTACTGTACATCAAAATGTGCATAATGTTGAGAAGAAAAGTCTGTTTTCAATTGATATTTTCAAAAGCCACTTTTGAGTCTGTTTTTGACAGAAAACATCACACCTACCATTTGCATGCCTATATTAGTTCTAATGCCATTTCACTTGCATGTTCACCACTCATTGTCAGTACAAACTTAGCTATTTTTTAAATTTTGTCTTGTTTTATTTTTAGTCTGTAAGACTGTTTCTACGGTAATTGCATCTATACTAATTATAAAAATCAAGATTGATGGATATGAATAATGTCAATACCATTACTATGCATAGAACTATTTACATTTCTATTTTTTCCTTTCTAGTTTCAATAACAGCACTCAAAATATAACCTAATAAAGTTTCAGTATAGGGCTCGCTCAATGACGGCCATCTCTGTAGGAGAACTGCAACTGCGTATTTTATGCAATCAAGCACGCATTGCGCAGTGTTGAAAATGTTCCAAACACGCGCGCTTGTTGCTCGAAATGTGTTCGAAATACGACGCAGCCGATGCGCGTTATGCAAGTTCACGCTCAAAATGCCGATGCACGTAGATGGTCTGTAGGAAATGACGTCATTTGAATGAGGCTTATAGTAGATAGAATGCTACATTGTTAAGTTGATGCTGCATCGGCATGCCTATTGAGATATATGTGGAGTTTTCTCCTATTTATAGCCAAACAGAACTGGTTTTTGTGAAGAATTCTAAAAAAAAATTGCAATTTCAAGATCTGATTTTATAGAATTCAGGAACTGAAAATGTTTTTTTTTTATTAATACAGGCACAGAAATAATAAGAAAAAGCTGAAAAAAATGTTGAAAAGTACTATTTGTTGTATGCAGAAAGTCAAGAAATCTGATTAATTACATTTTTTCGATATCTTAACTAAGTGAATTCAAGGAATTATCTTTAAAAGTCTTCATGGGTTTGCAATTGTGAGCATATTTATATTGTAAATGGTAATACGTGTGCTATCGCAATCTCTGATTCAGTACTATCACTATGAATACTGGTAGAGTACTATGTACAGAAGGTCGAGTCTTAAACAGAAATTCAAGTTTTTAATCATCTTTTCTCTAAATGGTGCTAGTAAAAGCCTTTTAAAATCTGTGGAACTAATATATATTATGGTTTCTGTGATAATCTGTCAGACAGTAGTTTTAGTAAGTATTCATTCCCAATTCCACCAAAATCCTGCTTATACACCGCCTGAGTAAATCCCCGTATTCTGATTGGTGGGTTGTTGATCACATGTCATCAAATTATGCGTCCCAACCCACGGCCTGGCCACACTGAAGAATGGAAGTTCTATTCCACGGTTAATAGAAGTTCTATTGCACGGTCATACTATTGGTGGTTCTGACCAATCAGATGACAAGGATTTATTCAGGTGTTGTATAAAGCAAATAATGAATGTTTCACCTTCGTGCAATGGAAAGAATAATTTCATTCAGTGACAAAAGGAGTGTTCATCTCCACGAGGCAAAGCTGCGTGGAATGGAACATTCCATCTGCCACCTCATGAAATTACTCTTACCGTTGCACTCATTACCGTTGAGCTAATAAGCCAAGCCAATCAGTGATTGGCCATCATTTAAATGGAGCTTGATGTTCCAACTGAAAGTACAAATAATATGTCTGGTAGACGAATCCAGGCTCCTGATAACTGTACACCCACGACGCCCCCTTTCAATGGCGAGAGCATTATGGCAGCTATTGTACAAAGCAACTGCCCTGTGATGGATTATCTGTACAATAGCTAGCACAATGCTTTCGCCATTGAACGGGGCCTCTGATAGTGTACCTGGATCGGTCTATATCACACAGTGGATTTGGAGGGTTTTGAACTTCTTAGCAACAAACACATAGTCTTTATGCACGAGTCGGCCATTTTGAATTGAAAGCGAGGTAAACTCTTCACTTTTGGAACTTGCGAGTAGAAATCAAAGCAATGAAAGAAAAGTTCATTACAAATTAATAAACATGTACCAGTCTGCTGTAATGAATAATGCACTCGCATCATAAAATAGTCTGGCGCCATCACATTCAAGAGTTTACAATTTATAAAAATAGATTCAGGGAGTAGAATCGAAAATGGCTTCCTCGTGTGAATAAGTTTTGGGTTTAATAAAACATATTTATTTGTTTGTTTCATGGTGCCTTTCTGTAAATACAAAAGTGCAACTGATCTGTTTTAAACACTGTGATTTATAACTAAAACTGTTTTTCCTTGTATGTAACGGTTTACTATTTTATCCTTCTGGGTTTTATTATATTTTCCAGGTTCTTTTGTTAAACTTCTGTTTTTACATTGGAGTTGTGCTGGACACCCAGTCAGATTACAAAATATGCATATTCATGTCGCCATGAAAAATATGCAACATGAATATTCATGATGTGACACTGTATTGACTGGGCACCCTGTCAGATTACAAAATATGCATATTCATGTTGCCATGAAAAATATGCAACATGAATATTCATGATGTGACATTGTATTGACTTACATTCACCCTATCACATTTTGAAATTTTCACCATTGCATCACTCTCAGAAACATTTCATTATCAGAAAACATTTCACTTTCTTGGATCATATTTCCATATGTCGTGAGTCATATTTTAATGTCAGTGGTGATGCCATTAGCTGCAGGGCATCGTCACTTGCTGCAGAGCGATCGAACGTGCAATTCTGTACGCCCTCAAAATATCTAAATTTTATGAAATCTAAAGTGTTTTTAAATTTGTACAAAAACTTAACGTGCGGCAGCCATTTTGTTTTTAATGTCTCATGTGACGGCTTAAACGATGTCCGGATTACTTGGCTAGTCTGGTGCCTGTTATCTTTTGAGTTAATTCTGATATTCCCCACTAGTGGAAACAAGACGAGCATCGAATTACTAAAACTTTATTTTTGCTTCATACCTTTTCATTTGTACAGCTTGTATTTAATTAAGGGGATAAAAGTTTAAACGTGTGGTTTTAAAACGGGCTTGGGGTCTGGTCGCTGATACCTGAGCCGTAGGCGAGGGCTGTTATCGGCGACCAGACCCCAAGCCGGCTTTAAACATCAATGTAACGTGTCCAGCAAACTATTATTCCCATTCATAAATACCTTTTTGGTCAAAAGGTCAAATCAAGTCAAGAATCGACAAATTTTAAATGATTTTTTTCAACAATTTTACTTCATGTTTTTTTAAACACCCCTATTGCCATGTCTATGGTATGTGCCTCACGCACGTAGTTTTAAACAGCTACTTATATGTAGACTAGCACGCGCACTGCGTGTACTGCGCGATGTTGCGCAGAACACAGCGGCTCTCAGTGGTGTTCTACCGGCGGTTTAAATCCACCAACGTGATGGGCCTTTGACCAATAGGAATGTTCAAACTCTTCTAGGCACTGGTATTTATGAAGTTGTTTTGCTGAACTTGCCTTTTGTTTTATATTATAATCCCTTTCAAGAATCTGATCATTAATTGAATAAGCAACAAAGATTTGTTTAAAATGTGCAAAGTTACGGAAATATTAAAGTGGCCTTATTTTTTGTTTGACTAGTTTGCAATTGAAATTTGAAGAACAACTCCAAAATAAACTTGCACATTTTAAATCAAAACGCACATCCTTTTTGTTGGCATTTGTTCTGTTATGTTGTTTTGAGTTGCTATTTTTAGTTGTCTGCCCCCCAAACTATCTGTGATATTATTTGCTCGCCGATACAGCAGCTTTCTGTAAAATGCAGCATTTTTTTTCCACAAACTTTTTTTTCTTCTTTCTTTGCACCCTTCCTTATCACCCCACTTGTGTTCATTTCATTTCCACCGCTTCGAAATATCAGTTATAATAATTTGGAAAAAAAAAGAAATAACAATTCTTCTGTTTGACGTTTGATCATGAAATGCAATTCAAAATGTAAAAACAGTTGGAGATCGATTTAAATTTACCGGAAGTTGGCAACCGTTATGGATTTTGGGGTCAAGTTTTTCGACCCATTGATGTCTGTACTGCCCCAAAGTGCTCTGCCTGTTAATATTTATAGCGCCAAAACTGCCCCTGTTTTCATGGGAGTAATTGCAGAGTATTAAATATTTTTTCCTGGATTTTTTATTTTCCTACAATCTAACCCCCGTTGAAGGTGTATGTGTATTGTTGTAAACAAAATATAAACATAGGTAACAGATTTTGCAAATTTACAGAAAACAAAGTTTTTGAAAGCTTGCAGATTTACCCCCGACCTAAACCTGTGTCAAATGCTCCTATTTGTCAATCTCAGTTTGACAATTCGGGGTAGTGGGTTGTGATTTTAACTTATCTTGCTTTAATTTCTTCCTATTTTGAACTTTACAAATTGGTGACGGGACAGCAATATTTCGGGACGTGGTTGTGAGCAGTGGTTTGCTTCGGTTGATGTTTTATTCAGGCCTGTCACTTTTGGCAGAATTTTGGCTTTAATTCACGTGAGGTTCTCTGTATGAAATATTATGAGAGTTTGTGTCAGCACAAGAGAATGAGGGTAGTGGTTTTGGTCTCCAGTTTTGGGTTCAAAAAAGTTTCTTGTAATTAAGAAAGATTACTTCATATAATGCACCCTTTGTAGGGAAGAGTTTACTTCACTTTGAAACAAGTTTAAACTAACAAGCTTTTTCATGTAGCATTAACATGTACCACTTGTCCGTATATGTGCTGTAAGAAGTGCAGTATAGTCACATGCAACTGCTGTTATATGTATTGAATCTTACGTGGCTGCAACTGTTTCATGTGTCCACATTTCCACCGTTTTTACAGGCCATGATAACATCCGCTTAGTGGAGAGCTTAGGTCAGGGTCAGGGAGGCATGCAGCCCCAGCAGAACCCACACTACATTCCAGGTAAGACCATGTGACATTACCTGTGACGGACCCGATGACAGACCCAGTGACAGACCCAGTGACAAATTCAGGGACATTATTGGCAGGCCAGGGGGAGTGTGTGGCCTACTGGTTAGGGTTTGTGACTCATGATCAGAGGGTCCGGGGTTCGAATCCAGCCGCTGGCCATATATTGTGTCCTTGGGCAAGGCACTTCACCCCCACTTGCCCCTCTCCACCCAGGAGTATAAATGGGTACCGGCATTAGCTGGGGAGTAACCTGCGATGGACTGGCATCCCATTCAGGGGGAGTAGAAATATTCCCAGTCGTTTCATGCCAAGGAAACCGGAGATAAACACCGGCCTGATGAGCCACATTGGCTCCCGACAAACTTTACTACTATTGGCAGGCCAGTGACAGACTCAGCCACAGAACTAGTATTAGCTCCTATGGTAGACCCAGTGACAGACAAGAGACACAACCAGTGACGGACAGGATAACAGACCTAATGACAGACCCATTGACAAATTCAGGGACACATTGGAAGGCCAGTGACAGACCCAGCCACAGAACTAGTATTAGCTCCTATGATAGACCCAGTGACAGACTAGTGACAGAACCATTGTCAGACCTGCTAGCAGACCCAGTGACAGACCCATTGACAAATGCAGGGACATGCAGGCTAATGACCGACCCAGCCACAGAACTAATATTAGAGCCTATGATAGACCCAGTGACAGACTAGTGACGGAACCAGTGACGGACCTGATAACAGACCTAGTGACGGACCCAGTGACACATGCAGGGACCTATTGGCAGGCCAGTGACAGGTTCTGTTGATTTTTTTGGACACCCTATAGCATGTCCCCATTAAGAAATAGTCTATATATTTTTATTTGAAATTATTAATTTTTTTTTTATTAACTAATGATTGATCAATAACTTATCATGTGTTAGACATGGATTTTAAATCTAAACAAGTTTTAAGGTTACACGAAGAAACCCAAACCAGTGAATTCAAATATTTGTTTGAACTGTAAAATATCAACATGTTTTTGTAAGACTGACCCTGTTTTCAATGGTTGATTAATTGATTGATTGATTATCAATTCTACAGATGATGTGATCAATGGCTACGATGGCTACAACAACCTGGGCCGCCCCATGGCGCCCCCACCGGCCTACCACCCTGGTGAGCCTCTCAATATCCCACCTCACGATTACTACTTCTAGCGCCCTCATTGTTGAAAAACAAACCACACCACCGCCATCTTCATTTGTACCGTCCCAACACCCCTCGCACCACAAACAAAAATCATGGCTTTTGTGGAAAAAAACATACAACTTTTTCCATTTTTTTCTCCCCAAGTTCATATTCATTGTCATAATAGTCAGTCATTTGTTGGAGAAGTATTTTTTCTCTGAATATTTGTGAAGTCTCATTTTTGTTTATGTTTCTGCTTAAAAAACATTCAAAGTTTGTGTCGCAGTTGTGTCGAGTAACTTTGAGCCAGATAGGCTGGTGCCTTGTCATGTGGTAACACATCTTATATGGATTGCTGAATGGCAGTCTGGGTATATGACCACAATGCACACAGATGTGAAAGGTGTTTATTGTTTTTTTGTTTGCATTAAAATCAGAGACTTTGTTCTGAAATTGCAAATCGACAAAAAATTAGAGATGAGTTTGTTGAAGATGTGAGGTCTGTGCTTTGACCCAACCGACTTTGGAAAATTAAAGATCAAATTCTTCTTCATAGTTGGGTGGGATGACTACTAAAGTTGGTATATACATGCTTTTTCAAAATTTTCAATTTCTTTTTCGAACAAAATTCAAAGGAATACAATAAAAGGAATATAATAATGTAGTATAATATTCTGTTTGAACTTTTTGTTTTGAACTTAGCACAGGCGTCATATCTTTTGCAATTTCAAAACTGTCACTTTTACCCAATTCAAGTAGTCGACGATTTAGGTTTAAGATCTTGATTGTATCAGTGAACAAAGAATTACAAAAGTTCAAATGTTTCCGACCTTTGCCTGGAAGCGACAAGTGAAGAGATGGAAAGTGTGGTGAAGCTGAACAACTCCGTATGCAGTACTAACTGTAAAAAGTGAAACAAACCAACAATTGTAAATTAAATGTGTCATAGTTTTGTATTTAATTGTGGGATATTTTGTATAGGGAGAGGAAGTACCGTTGCATTGTGGGAAGAGAGTGTTCCATTTTACAGAACAGTCTTAAGAGAAAGGGCATTTTTGTTAAGGATGAGAAATAATTTTTACAACTCCTTATCATTTTATTTACTCAGTGAATCCATTCGAATCTTCAGCCTAAAGAACTGGTGAGAATTTTGGGTAATTCTCTGTCTCAATATTTTATCCTTTCAAAAGTGCAAATTTTCATCACGCTAAATATTTTATAATTATTCAGTTTGATTTGAAGCCAAAAATTGCTCTCTTCTCTTGATCATGTTCAAGAGAATTAAAGTGTGCTGATTTAAGCCATCTCCGTAAATAATATTGTTTTCATAGAGGGAAATCTAAATATATTGCTCATATGTAGCCTACGACAATCATAGTGTGCTGAAAAATGATATTTCAACCAAAACGCAGAAACTATATATTAATTTGATCAATGTTAAAAGCTGTGCTACAAATTCATCGCGAACCTTTTTCTGTCAAAGTTTAAAACGTGTGCTGATCTTCCTATTCTAAATTCATTGATAGTTGTGCTATGCAGAAAATTTTTATTACAGAAATCGTGAAGAGTTTCAGTATAATCAATAGCACAGAGCATTGTGCTTTACAACAGAACAACTTTTGGAGTTTTTTTAAACATTCCTTTGCCAAAATAGACTCACTATTTGCAGCTTATTTTAATTTCACACATTTAAAGCTTTAGTTAAAGGTATCTGCTGGATTTTCGTCGTCCATTCTATTCTTGCCATTCTCAGTAAAAAATTTCAAAGCATTTTGAAATTCCTTTTTGTTGTTCCATTTGTCCAAGCCCACAAACATTTAATGAAGTAAATATTTATAAGAAGTTAAATGCTAGAGCTTTTTCTAAACAAAGTTTCGTATTTCTGATCGTTACACTCTGATGGGTTTCATTCGTTTGATTTGATCTTTGGTTTGGAGAGAGTCAAACAGGGTGACCGTAAGGTTAGGGCCAAATTCTGCTAAATGCAATTCAAAAATCTGTCAGATTCATCAAAAATCTGCCAAATTCCCCAGAATGAATCGAAATATACTATAAACACTTAAAATCGCATGTAGATGTTGTAGTATTACCTTAATTAAGGTTCAAATTACTTTATAAACAATCTATAGTAACATAAAGATGTTATGAAATTGCGTAAATTTCAGGCTAATCTCGCATCACGACAAAGTCAGGTTCCCGGTGAACCTCTGCACCTAGACCAGCCAACCTGTCCCTTTATGCAAGGGTTTGTTTGAAAAGATTGAAGCTTTTTTAAACAAATGTACAATTTGTCTTCAAATTTGCTATGTTTCTCTTTCAAATATCCATGTTTGCAGAAATCTGCCCAAAAATCCATTCTGTCCAATTTTCTGTCAAACTTGTTTTTTAACAAAAAATATGTCAAACTTAGCCGAAAATCGGCTAAAATGGTCACCCTGGAGTCAAAAAAAATTTCAATTCTCCATTTCTTCAGTGATTGTTCTTGCTCTCAAGGTATCAGTACAAATCAGACGAAAAAAAATCAAAAAATCAGATTAATCCAGACAAGTCACATTTGTTTTTCCATTTAATCGTATTTATTTATTTATGTTACTTTGTAGAGTTGTGTTCCAACTTTTAGTTCTTAGTGTTTTAGTTGCCTTTTGTCGATACCTCCGTGTAGTCATTTTATTTTTTAGAGATTTATTTATCGTTATCTTACATAAAATATATATCACAGTATTCACTACACAGTATTATACTAGTATCAATAAAATATTTCCAAATCCGTTGAATTAAGTTTAAAATGTATTGTTTTACGGCATATATTTGTACACTGGCAAGTGTGTTTTTTTTAGATGGAAATCATAAATTAATTTGATCTTCAGGATACAACAGCTTATGAGGTCTTCACCAACAGAGCTTGTAGTTTTACCCTAAAACCAGCAATTTTCCAAAAATACACATCTTTACGATGAATTTGAGGTGCCATTTGTTTAACCTTGGAAATTTACAAAACAGATCAACAAGTTTGAATGAAACTTTATAAGTGAACGTGTAGTTACGAGACTTGCACAATCGCTGACTTCCCGCTTCATTGTCGTCATTTTTTCTCCCCATTTTTTGGGGTCAAATATCAAAAAGCTCAGCTGCATATATTATGCAGTGTATGAATATTCATCATTTGACAGTGAGTGTTGAATATACCAAAAGTCCGTCCGTGGTTCGCTTAGATTTTTTCGATTTAATATTTGGGGGGGGGTTGAAAATATTACCTTGAAATGAGTGTTGACATGATCTTGTTGAGTCCACTGTAAATGTTTTTAAAAAAAATCCTGAAAGTTTGAGTCAAAACAAATTGTAAAGTAAACAGAAATTATTAAATTTCCTGTGACATATAGAAGGTTTGGGTTAACATGAATAGGGTTAATATTAGCCCCACTTGTGTGGCCTCGGTATTGCTGCACTGTACGTTCAGCCACACGTCTGGTTTTCCAACCTACTGAGGAGTTTAGTCATTTTGGGGGCTTTTTTTTTTTTTACATACTACTGCATATGGTTGTATTCTATGATGTCTCATCTTTTGCCCTCCGGGTAGATTAGGTAATCTTTCTTCAATTTTTCGAGAGATTAAGTCATCTTACTGGAGTTCATATGCACCAGTTTCCGACTTAACTCCTCAGTAGGTTGGGAAACCAGACGTGTGGCCTAACATACAGCGCGGCAATACGGATGCCACACAAGTGGGGCTAGATTGATATTATTGTGTGCTTGTTAAAGTGCAATGTTGCCGAATTGTGTTAGTAAAATAACGTTCAATTTATTTTCCCTCCTAAAATTGCAGAACACCAAATTAGGCCGATTGAAGAATCAAATGCGTTGAACTTGACTTTCATTTTTGAAAGTCCTGAGATGAAATCCTTTCTCTCATTTTCCAGGCTGTCCATTTTGCATTTTTTGCGTAACTTTAACATTGAAATTTCGAAAAAAGATAGCTTGTTTGCATTTGGGCACAGTTACAAAAATACTTGCGAGTTCCGAGAGTTAACGCCAGAAAAACCCTGTTCTGGTTCTTCAACACTTGGACTAATATTTATATAGTTAAGGAATTAGTTAAATTTTCAGTCACAAGTCTATCACACGTCATCTAGTCTCCACTCAAGTTTCAAGCTATTTAAATGAACTGCAACAGGCAAATTGGCTAGGCTAAACCTTTGTCTGAGTCCAGTCTGTAATATGTCTTCAAAAAACACAGTATCGTTGTTGCTTTTTTTCTCTTAGAAACACTTTGATTTCCAGATTATATTTTGGAGTTGAATAATATACACTAGTTCTGCCGTAGCCTGGATGTTATACATCCATGATTGTGCTGAAAAGAAACCTTTTTGTATTTGGGACAAAATTCAAAACTAACTTTGTATCATAGGACATCTTGTTTTCATAATAAAAGATCACTGTTCTGAACAAATCTACTGAAATGGAAATCACTTGTTTTCTTATTTTTACTACCATTAACAGCTTTCTCCTGTCCTAATTTAATAATTGTTTTGTAGGTAGCAGTTCGAACTCAACATTATCTGAGAATAGGAGCTCAAAAGATTTTCTGTTAAGTCTAGGTACCGGATCAGGTAAACTCGGCTTTGAATAAACAAGCACAAGGACTCGGTGAGGAGCTAGCCTAAAGTGCCAAGCTTACCTGGTATTTGGCAAGAAAACTGGTGTCCTGTAATACAGCATACACAAAAATGGCTCATTGAGGGGCCAGGCTCAAATTTCCATAGTACCTGGTGCCCTGCCACAACTGGTTTCCGTATTACAAGTATCTTGAGTACATGATGGCGATATTAAGTTGCCCCAAATGTATTCCAAAAGATTGCAGCTAACATGAATATCATAAATTGCCATTTTGACAGATTGTCGTTTATCTTGAATATTTTTTTTGCAATAACCTCCGTCTTCTTAATTTTTTTCTTCTGCCTACCCATAATGCAATGCATAGAGGACCGTATGAGGGAGAATAAACGGACGTTAATAAGAGCCATGTTAGCGGGATTGCCCAACCAGCGATCCTTTGAAGAATTACCAACTCAGCAATCCATTGAACATGATGGTATACATTCCCTGGCTGATGCCCGAACTTTCCCTGTGGTTATGGTGTCCGTAGATGTTGTCATGGAAAAATTCATGTAGAAAAAAAACCTGGAAAAGTTATGAAAGTCACTAGAGTGTTAACAATATGGAAGTCATATGAAACATTGAACATGATGGTATACATTCCCTGGCTGATGCCCGAACTTTCCCTGTGGTGTCCGTAGATGTTGTCAAGGAAAAATTCATGGAAAAAAAACCTGGAAAACTTATGGAGTGTTAACAGTATGGAAGTCATATGAAACATCATTTCTATTGAATTGATAAATTGTTGACTGTTAAAAATGTTTAAATCTCATGCTGTTTGAAAGCTTATTTGAAACCCTGGAAAATAGGGAACTTTTGAGAGTAAACATGGATTAAAAAAAACCCAAATAAGTTATTCAACTTTCAATGACTTTAGCAGATAGACAAGCAAGAAAAGAAACTCAGATATAAGTATTGAAATATGAAATCTATGAAAAGTAAATATATCTGAATTTTTTTTGTTTTTATCTTAAGCAAAACAATTTATTATTCTTGTGAATTTCCATGGTTTTGTCTTCCGTGATCTAACTCTGAACTTCCGTGATGTAATTCCGGGATTTTTTTCCACTTCCAGGAAATATATAATAAATCAAACTAACACAAACTCAATTAGATGCCTCGTTATCTTTAACATTGTGGAAAAAGTAGTTAATGTGTACAACGTTTGTATGTCTTGTACCTGATTTTTTTGGTTGAAAAATTCTCCATATTATGGATTCCGTTTTTGTGAACAGCAAGTCAACATGTATCCCTGTTGTGACCAACTAACAACTGTTGTAACATTCAAACTGTGTTTGTGACCAAGATGTCTTCGTGAAAAGGTAACAAAATCGTATTTATTTATTTTTTTTACTAAAATGCTTATTTTTCACTAATGGAATTAACTTTCTTTGGAAAAATTATATGTTGATATTCTGAGGAATAAAATTCAGTAATTTGTACTCTTTTAACATTTACTCAAAACGACTTCTGCAATGTCAAGTTTTCCATTATATGTTAATAATAGACGCAACATTCTTATATCAATTGAATGAGTTTGTGAGGAATATATTAAGTTTCTTCAATAATATTTATTATTTTTTTAAGACATTAGAATTACGAAGATCTTAAAATAAATTTTTCAATATTTTTGTCACCCTATTATTTATAGAATCAAAACATACCTCATTTTTTTAATCCTTAGATGCCCAACTAGGTCCTTCAACAAGTGCTGGAGCTACAAGACCCTCCATGTCTACCAGCCTGTCCCTCCCACCGTACAGTAGACACCCCTCTTTTGAAGATGGTATGCTCCAGAAACTTCTGGCCAATCAGTGTCCTTGTACAAAATGACCTGACAAAATGTGCATGTCAATTACGAGCCAATCACAAAAGAGTAAATGTGTGATGGAATTTTTGTAACTACATTAACTTTGTAAATTCCGTAAATAGATAAGCAATTTCATTTTAGAGTTTTACCTTTAAAACATCTATTTTTACGGCAGTTTTGATAAACGTGTGTAGACGATGAAACGTTTGTACATTTGCTGAAATTGCAGCCAGTTCACAGAAAACATTTCCAAACATTTGTGTTTTGATACAAAACACTGGTTATGCGGAATGTTACATTTTGCATTATTTTGTCTTTCAGTTTTACTACTTGTTGTTGAAAAAATTCTTCGTCACGTGAAATTGCCTAAGCAAATGTTGAAAAATGCCAAGCATTGTCCATTGACCATTTTGTGCAAATGTCACGTGCATTTTTTCTCATTTTCATTTCACACCTGAACGCATCCCATCTTTTAGAGGTTTACTCACTTTCACCGCGTCGCCGTCGCCACTTGGCGGCCATGATGATGTATCGACGGTCGAGAAGCAGCAGCTTGCAGGCATCGCGGGACGAAAGTGCCTGGTGTGAGTGGCTTAAACTGGTTAACCGTGGTTGACTGGTTAACTGTGGTTAACCTGGTTAAACTTTACTGGTTGAATCGGTAAAACTCATTTTTTTAACTGGTTAAAGATACAGGGTTGGTGATAGTGCCTTTGAACGAAGGTGCCTGGTGTGAGTGGCTTTAACTTGTTAACCCTGGTTAAACTGGTTAAACTTAACTGGTTAAATTTGTATTACTAGTAACTCGGTTTGTAACTGATGGAAGATACAGAGTTGGTGATAGTTAATGTCTTGAAAAGAGGGTTCATGGTGTGAGTGGTCTAAACTGGTACCTTGTACCTTGTATAATATACTTCCAAAAACATCCTTGTTGGAGTATAACTGGAGGCTGGTGGACAGGTAAACCTTGGTTAACTGATTAAAGTGGCGTTGACTCTGTTTAAGCTAGTTGATAAGTTGGTATTAGTTACCAAGTTGTTTGGAGTATTGTAGCACAGTTATTTCCAAGTCTGATGATTTTGCAAGTTGCCGTATTAGATAAAAACACTGCAAAAGCTGAACATGGCTATAACTGGTTAACTTACACTGGTTAACTTAAACTGGTTTGTTGACTGGTTTAACCAGTAGTGAGTCATTTTAAACTGGTTTAAGGAGACCAAGTAGTTTAAAGTTGGTTATCAAGGTCAAAATGGTTAAAATAAGCAGTAATTTGGTATTGAACATTTCAATTCTATCAACTCAAGCTAAGATACCGAATTATGTGAAGGTTGAAATGCAAATAATGAAAATTGCCGAATTTGTATTTAAAAAAAAACACATCTGTTTTTGCAAACAGCTCGGCAAGGATCTAGCATGGAGGTGCCAATGGCGTATCCTAACTGGGGCAGGCAACGAGCCGTTGCATACGGTATATCAAGAATAATTTTGCATTTTGAAAATTGGACAAGTTTTGATAATGTTCAAAACGATGACAGAAAAAACACACCACCCTCTGCTCACCAAAGAAAAAAACATCGCACATGCTCAACTGTTCTTCTCTTTTTTTTCCAATTTTTTTTTTTTGGGGGGGGGGTTACCGCTTGTTTTGAAAGAAACACAAGATTTCACACTTTTATCACAACACAAATACAGCATGAATGAAGTGAAGTGCCTATGTGTCAACTTTTTCAATGATGAGCAAAAAATAAAATGTGTACATTATCAATAATTCATGTTTCAAAATACATTATGCATGAAACATTATTCATGTTTCAGTAATTTGCATTACCCATCTTTTCAAGATGAAGGGCTTAAAATCGGCATTCATGCTGAATAATTCATGTCTTCAAAACTCAGTCTTCGTGATGAATAATTCATATCTTTAAGACTTTGCATTATTCACGTATTCTGCAACGAAGAGCTCAAGAATCAGTCTTCACGATGAATAATTCATGTCGACAATTTGCATTAATCTCCACATTCAAGTCAAAATCTTCCTTCCTAGAATGCCTGTCACCTTGTGGCAAATTTGATGAAAACACATACATACATGTGCAAGTGAATGAAGCTATGAATTATGCATAACCAAAGTACATATGAGTATTAATCTAAATATTTGAATAATTCATACATGTTTGCTGTGTCTTCTGCCTCTTACATTGCCACCAACTTCGCAGACGATGACCACCCATCTACGTCTTTCCTGTCACCCGACTCATTCGACCAATCGGCTGTGAGCCGACAGTCCTCATTTGAAGATGGTACATGGCCTGTTTCCCCCATTTTTCCCCCTTCAAAAAGACACACCCCCTTTTGTGGTCTATGTAGACTATACTAATTCTAACTTGCTCATACCTGATGTATGATTTACTTTGATAACAACGGGTTGCAGTTTCAGCTCAAAAGATGACAAGAGTTGGAAACCTGCATATTTGTTAAAGTACTTTCTAAATAAAAAAGCTTCATCAAAAAACGTTGGATTTCTAGCCTTACCGTTTGGGAACTTGGCTATAGACCTTTATCATGCTGCCACCATTTCAGTCATGTTCCCTGTATCCAATAACAGTACTGAACGATAATGGTGTTTTTGTGCAAATAGAGGGACCAGACTATTTTTCCTTCCAGCCTCGCTTTGGTTATGTTGATTTGAAATTTGAATGGGAAAATATCAAGATGGCCGCGACATGATAACGGTTTATTTGCAAGTTCTGTCATAATTGATTGATCGTAATTTTGATGGTATCTTTAGTACTATTACCAATATCTCTAGGAGTGTCTTATGTAAATAAACAGTAACAAGTTTAAAATAATGTGTCAAATTGTGCCATAGACGGTACCTTATTAAATCTTAACACCCACTGTATGTGAATTTTACTTTCTGTAATTGTATTTATTCCTTATATAAATGTGGACAGGGGTTGTTCAAATCACAAATGTGACAAATCTGTTGATATTTTGAATCCAGTGGCACAACGAAACTGACCAAACTGGGAGTCGAACCCATGACCACAACATTGATGTTCCATTCAAAGGACGGACTCTGATAGCGGTAGAGACTGGAACTGCAGTTTAGTGGTCTGGGGTTCGAATCCTAGCTGCCTTTTGTTTTACTAACTGACATTTGTTTCACCCATGTTCCCCCTGTTTTAGGTCAATTGATATATAATGGTGGTTGATATTGTAAACTTGTGTTATCAGATTTGTACAAATTACAAAACTATTAATTGTCATGATTGATGAATTCTTTTTTATTAATTCTGTATTCAAAATGTAGCCTTCCCAGTGATTATCCCTGGTCCGTACCCCCTGTCTGAGCGAAGCACCCTCTTCCGACAGCCCTCAGATCCCTTGTTTGCCCCGCCCCGCCCAGCAGTCTACTGTACCCTCTCTCCATCCATGGTCTATCCCCCAACCAACCCCCGTCATATCATAGTGCAACCCTCCCAGGCGGATGATCCCCCATCCCCACACTACGAGAACACCCGTGAAGTTAGGTACCCCCAGCAGCCCCGAGTGATCCCGGTCCCGCCCCCTGTTCCCCGGACCCAACCCCTAGCCCCCTTGACCCGACCTCAAGCTCCACCCACTTCCCTCCCTGGTCCCCTCCCCTCGATTCTGATATCGCCGGGAATGCTTCGCAGACAGCATCGAGTGGTGTTCCGTCAGCCCACCTTCTCCCCGCCTCCATCTCCCCCACTTCCCCCTCTCCCAACCTCTGAGCCCCTCCCCCAACCTGACCTCCTCCCGCCCACAATTGTCAGGCCACGCCCACAGAAACTCCTGCGGCGTCAATCAGCCATTTCATCAACATCATCATCGCCATCATTTCCATCGACATCAACAACTCAATCTGCGCCACCTATTCCGCCACCCCGAGCCTCATCATCCTTGTCAACGATTTCCGGTCGCTCATCGGTGTCCTGTAGATCCCCGGTTCCCGTGCCCCCTCCGAGAATCCATATTCAGCGACAGGCCAGTCAAAACAACGACCAACCCATTGGTAAAGCGCTTATCATTTCATAAGCTCATTTCATATCAAAATTTTAGTTTATACGCTCACAGTCAAAACATGTCATCTTGCCTGGAAAAAAAGTGTGTTTATTTTCCCATATAAAACACAACTGTTGCAGGCTGCATGTTTCATGATTTTCTAATGCAAAGTCAAATTTATGCCAACGCTCATCAACATTTTACCGCCATTTCCCACAGTTTATTATGAACACTTCAATTTCAGCCAGTTGTAAAGTCCATGTCAATCATGCTGCTACTTGACTTCAGTTGTGACATTTTCAAATAATGTATTTTTTCCTTGTTTTACCCACAGGTGCTTTTCACATGCTTCATATTCCGTGACTGTTTAAGTATTGTATATTTTGGTGCTGAAGGCCTTCCAAAAATGAATTTTGCTGGACTTCAATTAGTATTTTACCCTTGTGAGGGAGGTTTTCAGTAATTTGTGCAACATACCTGAGAAGCTGGATAATTTCAGAGCCAGGAATGTACAAACTTTAATCAAAATGTGAAACTTGTTTTCACAGTCTTAAAAAATGCACTGCCTGTTATGGTTGGGGTCAGTTGCTTTGGAGGCCTTTCAGTATAATTCTGTTAGAAGCCAGATATAAGACATTTTGGTTATATGAAATAGTTTATTAACTAACCCAGAAACTGACACCTTTAAGTGAGTTTTGACCTCTATTTGAGCTCTGTTTTACAAGCACCTTAATTTCAAATCTATCCGATACACAAACAGTGAGTTTGTTTTCAAAAAGTGTTTGAGACCTTTCACAAAAAGATACAGGATTGTCAAAGTTACAGGTCTCATTGGTTTTGGGTTTTTTGTTTGTTTACCTGTTTATACTATAGGTAACCGCGGCATGTCAGACTACGACCGAAATGGCCCGTACGGCCATCACGGGTACAATCAGCCGGGTATGTCCGGCCACCGTCCGTCAGGCATGCCGGCAGTGGAGTCGGACCCGTACAGCTACGGTTACAGCCAGGACCCCATCCAACGACGCAATCGCGAGAGCGTCGTGCAAGACATGCAAGAGTACAACAAGAAACCGCGCATCGCTACGTACCTGTAAACAAAAAAGTAGATCTGATATGAGATTGATATTGAATAAATCTTGATTTTGGTGAGGGACGTGTTGTTTTCTTCAACATGCATGGCATCCAAAGTTAGGCTGAGGGTGCCATGTGCGTTTGTTTGTGGTGTGAATCGAGGACACACACGTCATCGATGAATCGAGGACATGAACCAAATTGAGGACTCCTCGGTTGGAAAACGTGTACAAAACTAATGAGAGCTGTTTGCAAAACTAGAGTATAAACAAAAGAAAAGGGAAGAGGAACAACAGAAAATCCTCGATTTACACCATAAACAAATGTATGTGTCTGTGAGGGTGTAAAAAAAATTCACGCTGCACGCTTCGTCACGCACTGCCCCAATAAAAAAGGCCGAATGTAAAACATTTAACCCTAATCGCCCTGAATCCTTCAAAATCTTCTTTGCCAAAGTGGAGGAATTTGTAGGATTAAGGTTACATTACAAAAGTGCGTTACTGATTTCGCACTTTGTCAAGGTCTTGGGCCGGACCTTGTGTTGTTTTTGCTCAGCCATACATAAATAAAGGCCTGGATTATGCTTGAAATCCTCCGTACTGCTCCAGGATGTCACTGACCAAGCCTCAACAGCCGCAGGATTTGGCAGGATTCAGGCAGTGGTCACCCCTCCACGGACCATATTCAAGAAATAATGGAGGAATTTGCAGAATTGAGGCTACATCCTAGCAAAAAGGCTATCCATCCATTTATTATGCCTTTTAATTTCTTATTTTCGAAAAGTCCTCTTTGAGATGGACTTTAAAAATCTGAATTTAATTTCAATTTCAAAATGCCGTATTCTTCTCATTTTTTTGTTCACATTAATGCACATTATTTACACAGAAATATAGAACTGACAAGTCATATATATCAGTGCTTTGATTTAGTGCCATATTTAATCAGTTTGCTTTTAACATTTTAAAGTGCATGTAAATATATGTTTCAACTGTTTGTGATGGACTTCAAAACGCTAGGCAGAATCCGAAATTACTTTTGAATAAATTTAATTTCAAAATTGCTGTTTTCTGCTCATTTTTTGTGCACGTTAATACACATTATTTACACACAATTATTGAATTGTCAAGTCATATATATCAGTACTTTGAGTGCCATATTTAATCGGTGTAGTTTTAACATTTTAAAGTGCCTGTAAATGAATGTTTCAACGCTGTTCACGTTCACGCATATATATGTATATGAATTCAGTGTGTGTTTGAAATTTTGTTCAGAAGAAAAAAAAAGTTGTAAAATATTATTAATCTTAAAATGTACTAAATATTTCTTTTGGAAGAAAATTTTGTTAAATTTTCTTTTTTAGTTCTTTTGAAATACTGAACATTGTTCTGAAAACATTAAAAAACAAGTATGACTGATTGACATCAGTTTGATATATATTATGTTTGATTCGATTGACAAATTATAGATTGAGATACGATTGATAAATTTAAAACTTAGAAAGTCAATCTCTTTATTGAAAAACGAAAACAAAAAGCAAATTAATCTAATTAGGGTGTTTTGGGGGGAGTTTGTGTAGGTTTTATTCAGCTTACTTAAAAAAGAAAAGAAAATATTTTTGCCAGCTTCTGATTGGTTGTATTCGTAGTTTAGTTTAACACAGAGCTTACTCAGAATTGTGTGTATTATAATGATGTTGCGTCTTGTAAGAGTTGATCCTGTATACGAATTATGTTCAGTGCCTAATTGTTTCTTGAAAATCTAAAATATAATTGTGTAGCCGTTATGAGTGTTAGATGTGTGCTAAATTTTGTATTGATGGAAAATTGTTGAAATCGTTTTATTTGTCAAGTTGCACTGAAGGTGTTACGTGATTGTGTGTGATATTTGCAAAAATATCTTCAAACTAGTTGCTGTAAGTGTAAAAAAGGAAATGAAAAATAAACTGTGACAATTCCTCAATTTCCTTGAAAGTCATCCAGCAGTTTCAATAGTTTATATTATTATAGTTAAATAAATTTGTTTTTAAGTTGTTTGGAGGAAAGTCCGTTTTAGGTCTTGATAAGGGTTAGTAATCGCGAGAGGAGCACTATTTTTCGATGGACAATTTCCCATCTCGAGAGGGGCACAATTATTTTGTTATTGCGAGAAGGGAATTTGTGCTTTTGAGGGATAGTTTTCCATCTCGAGAAGTTTCACAATCTCGTTCCAATGCGCGAGGGGTATTTGTGTTTTTGAGGGGCACTTTTGCATTACACAAGATAGAAGACAATTTTTATGCGCGATCATAATGCTTTCATGTGTGCATTTTTTTTTGGGGGGGGGGGTGGTTTGTTTTCATCTCTAGGGGGCACATTGATGACCGCGAGTTTAGGGGTACTTTTGTTGGCCTGGGAAAATCTGGGGGAAGCAAGTGCCCCCCCCCCTCCCCCCCCCCCCCCCCCCCCCCCCCCCCGCCGCCCAGTCGTTTTCGAACACGCTGTTAGTATGAGGGAAAAAAACAAACGCGCTTCTTAGGCTGCAGTACGCCCTCTTTTGAAGAAGCACAAGCATTTTTGAAGAGGAGCAAAATTCGAATAGTAGAGGGCGCTCGCACGCCTGTGCTACGTTTCCTGATCTCCAGGAAGTTGCCCGGCCTCAGTTTAACTTATTTTCCATCATTTTGAAGACATCCAACTCTCCTGCATAATTTGTCTGTTATGAGGCGGAGGTACATGTAGTTTCAACCTTTTATAGCTTCATGAATGCCGTGCGTGGGGTTTCTTTTAATAGGGAGGGGGAACCACTTAAAATTACAAGGGCGCTCTTCAAATGCCACACAAGTAGGGCATATATCTTTAAAAAAAAAAGATATTGGCTACCGGCTGGGCTATTACTGCTTTGAATAATACAGTAATAAGTTATAATTTGGAGATGAACTTGTTTTTTTTTTATGGTAATCCCATTTGTATGTGTCTCCCTTGCTAGTCTTTCCAAAGCACCGCACCGTAGTATATAGATACGGGGTAGACATCTTCCGAATGATGCCTTTGAAAGTTTGAGACAAATTTGGCTTTGTCGGTGGTATGTCATTTATGTTACAAATTTCATGTTTTGGATTAATTGTGGTTCTTATCAAATCATGAAAAATACGAAAATTTGAAAAAAGATAAATTAATTAATTATACAACCCCCCCCCCCCCAAAGTATCTGCAATACATCCTTTTCAAGTTCATCTACATGTGAATTTTGTTTTGATTAAATAATTTTTCAAAATTTCATTCTTAATTAATCATAAACACAACCGCGCCACTTCCAATATTTACCGCCGATCGACATTTAAAATACGCAATAAATTATGGAGCGCACTTTAAAGTAAAAGTATGGAACGGATCTCACAACACGTTAAATCATTGGACCACAATTCTGACGTCATTTTTCTAGAGACACGACCATTGTGAAATAGGGGAATTCTCCTATAGAATTTGGAGAGGCATCGCTTATTTTCAAGGAAAATGAACTTCAACGTGTTTTTTTTTTAATTTTTAAGCCAAGCATTTATTGAGATTACTTTTTAGTACATCTTCAGTACCAGGTTGTTGGTTTTAACACGTTTTCTTTCACACAAATTAAGTACTTTTCACAGACTGTTGGGTTATTTATAATTTGTAGTCCAAAAGTCCTGGGACGTCCATTCATACATTGTATGCAGCTGCACTGCGAATGAATGCTGTGCATGCAGTACGCATAGCGCGCACACACTGCACTGCTGGCTGGCCACTTGCCGCTTGGATATCGTGCAAGGAACAGGTCAACTGAAAATGGCAAGAAGTGACAAAATGGAGGTAAACTTTGTTAATTCTTCTGTTTTTACAATTCTTTCCTGTTAAATACTGATATAACATTTTAGTGATTGTTTGTAGCTGGCTTTGGTGGTCCGTGTAGGTTTGGGCTGAATGCTAGAAATGATGTTTTCTGTTGATGTTGATATTTTTTAGTTGGTTGAAAATTTCCATGTCAACTTTCCCTTGTGACTTACCATGGAGCTATAGCCCGTGTTATCGTAGGCTTTTCCCCTTTGTGTTTCAGTCTTGGTGTTGTAGTATGCTTATTGGTCAGATTCATGAAATCATCAGTTAGGTTTGACCTAGCCTGACGAAGATAGTTACTTCACTAATCATGGTTTGAATTTATTTTGAGCTTTACAACTAACCACACTGACTTCTGATGGCATGGGTAGTTATTTTGGGAGGGGCTAGAGAGTAGTGGGGGGGGGGGGTGTTATCAGTTAATTAGTGTAAGCTGCCTTGACAAGTTTCAAAATTCCTCAAATACTTAATTGTATTATTGTAAGTGTATGATAACACGATGAGTATAACTGTAACAGTACTAACACCACAATATTAGATATTCAACTTCAAGACTTTATGAAGTTTTGTTGATTTGATTTGCTTTTATTTTTGAACATTGTTACGACAATGTTACGACATGTGACAGTCAATACTACACAATCCCAACCTCATCATTTGTCCTTTTACATAGATCCCTCCTTAGAGATTCCGGAGCCCTTTTTTCACAAAATCCGACAATCATTTCCACCCGGTTCACACTTCCAGGTAATTCAGGATCAAGAAATAGGCCTATGTGTACCGGTACATTTACATAGTACAAACTCAGCAAGCTTCAAGAAACACATTTAATGTGTTGAATATGTTGCCGTCTGTCATGTGTTTACCAAATTTAATGTTTGTTTCAACCTGTGCCTAGAATTTTAGAAAGTCTACACAGTTTGTGAAAATGTTCCAATGTAAAATTTCTGTTTTACTACGCTAGTTTTAAATTAGCATTTTTAGTTGGTTACGATTATTGCATGAACCAAATACTGTATGGCCATGTCAAACTACATGTACTTTGTGTATTCCTTTTATCAGATCGATACACATGTACATGTACTTTCATGTACATGTACACAAAACACACCCTGCGCAACTGCAGTAGCCAGTCATATTGTATTGTACGTGTATGTACCATACCACCATGGTCCCCGCATAAATAGTATTAAACCCATGGAGTTTTACACTAGTGCAGGTACAAAGGATTGACACAGGGCTACAGTGTGCATGCATGCATACATAGTGTGTCCAGTCTACCTGATGGATCACACAGAGCTTTAATACCCAACCCCTTGTCCCATGGACCCATATAGCAACAGAATTGCTTCGTTACATACTTTTTACATTGACAAGTCTTTATATTTAAATTGCTTGCTTATATAGTATGTAAATCATGTTAAAAAATTGGTCACAATGTTAATTTTCTGTACAAGTACATGTACATGTACATGTATGTAGGTCATAGTATGGTACACATTCATATGAACGTGTACCATACTATGACCAACACTGCACAAATCTGCAGACATGTGTTGGCATGTACATACATACTTTTATGACGACATGAAAGGTGAAACTTTTTTTTTTCACAGAAAAACAGAAAAAAACCCCACAATAACATATGTAGCACCCAATGGAAGAACACAGTTTTGTCATGTTAATTTAACATCAAGGTAATACAGACACGTGTTATTGATTCGTGCCACTGTCTTCTGTATTGACAAAGGTTCAGGCACAGCTTATGTCTGACTTTCTCTTGTTGCATATTTAAGAAGCATTATCCTTCACAACGTACACATGTACTGTATGCCTAAGAAAGTATGGATTTAGAGTTTGGCTGCGTGAAGGCTACTGGAATTCCAGGCATTGCAGAAATGAAGGAGATTTTCATCCAAATGAAATTTTCATCCAGATGGTATAACCAATAAAATTATACTATGAGGGAGATATCAAACTTTAAGGAGAGATACAAGTACATGTACAGACTACAGAAACTGTTAGTGTCAACCAGTGGCTTATAATATGCATACATTGCAAAGGCCACAGTTTCATAATGTGTGCACACAATTACCATTGAAACCCTTGGCCTATCTTCTGTACACCAAGCTTGATAATTGTAACAAAGCATATATGACGCACACACTGCTTGCACACATGTTAGTACCGGGTACCAGTCGAGTGGCCTTCTTGATTTGGCCCCAACACACCCAGCCAGCAACTCGGCAATATTTGTTTGCTGTGCACATATGTGTTTCCAAAAAAAAAAATTAAAAAAAAAAAAAAAAATCCCGGCATTGTCCAGGTGATGTTGCTGTTTTTAGGACTTCGGTTGCATCCTCACTGGATTAAAGGGTCACTCTGGTTGCAGCTGGGAGTGTGGTGAGGTTTTGTGGCCAGGGCTAAACCTGGACGCTTGAGGGTAGGACTTAAGAAAAGTGTGACCATAATACCTTTGTACTTTTCTTTCCTGCGCGGGGGATTTTAGAGTGGATACAAAAATAACACAGACCCAAGTGAGCAACCGATATATCCATTTTGGACAAAAACTTAACGTTGTGTTAAAAAAGAAAAAAGAAAAAAATGCTGATAAACTGAGTTGTGACCATAAACAAGATTTGAATTTCAGCCTAGTTGCAATGAACAAAGGGTTGTATAAAAACTTGCATTTCGTTTAAAATTTCAATGGCCAACTCGAGCAGATGTTTAGTGCTGCTTTGGTGATGTAGACAGTACTTGCAAGTACTGCCTTTTGTGATGTATGAGAATTTGGATTGGAAGGAACATACGGCACTGATTTGATGGCGAATTTTGTTACATTACACTTACAGCACTTTCTGATGTCAAGTTTCATATCTAACAGCCGTCAGAAAGATCGTTGCACCAGTAGTGTGTCGTCCTATGGGCATGGATGTGAAGTGTTATAATGGATATTGGTTGATGTGTCTGGATTTCACTTTACAAGTGTTTGGGCACAAATTCGGAATTGCTTTTACATCCAAGCACGCTTTGAAAAACCATTGACAAGGCAAGGGGGATTTTGTAGTTTAATACCCTAACTGCCTTTTCCAACCAAACAATTTCAAATGGAACATTCAGAAGAATGTTCCCTGTAAGACTAGTACAGCAAGAAAGACAGGATGACACAGAACCAATGCATTGCTGGCTAGAAATGTGGGTTTAATCTACGTTTCGAGACAGTAAAACTGCTCTTCTTCAGGAATCAGAGTCAGACTAGTACATGTATAATGCAGAACTGGTTTAAGTTAAATTAGTCTGTCACACTGACACAGCAGAACTTCTTTTTTTTTTGAAAAAAAAAAGGAGAAGATAAGAAAACGTGTGTGTTATTATTGTTAAGAGTCCTGCATTTGGCCGTGCAGGGACAGGACAGGAGACCGGTTATCATTGTTCAAATACAAAATGAAATATTGGTGCAGCTGGTTATGGCATTGCTCTTAGTCTTCACCTAATGGGCTGCAAAGAGCCGCTGAAAAGCTTTTTTGTTAACCGAAATTACGGGGTGCTTGGAAAGGAAAATAGGGCCGTATTATCCCCTTACAGCTTGCAGTTGAGCCTAGCAGTGCACAGGTCATGCAAGCATGCAGAACAAATATGCTTGAGAGGCCCGTGTGTGCAGGCTGCACTCAACAACGGGACAAAGGTTTTGGGGGCCGTGTCGATCCCATGGATCTGTGTTTCCCTGCTAGCTAGCTGCCCACTCACTTCCCATGGTCGTCTGCTAAAAAAAAATAATGAAAAAAAAAAAAAATTGGATTTATCCTGGGTTTATGGTTATTCAAGTCTTGCCTGAGTGTTCAAACAGAGCTCGGCCGTAGAGATGGGAACTGCACTGTGCGGAATTCTCATGTTTGCTTTCTCTGTGATGAATTGTACTGTTGAAATGTTAAAGTGGTAAAGTCGGGATATAGCACGGCTTCTTAAAGCTGTACAATGGAATACTGTTGTTTTGAAGAGCAACACTGTGGACATCCCAAATGAGGGGTCATGTATACACATAGTTCGGTTTCCAGAAATGCGATAATCTTTCATTTCTAAATCCATATGACCGTACAGTATAAAGCCTGTATAAAAGTTGTTTTGCAAATAAATTTTGTAGATGAGTGAGTTCTTGATATCGTTAAATGAAAAAAAACCCATAAAACTTTTGCTTCCGCCCTTTGTCAGGACACTTCAGATCCTGGATGAATCAAGTCATGGTCATTTGCCGTGTCCAATGAGTTCTTGATCATTGGTGTCATAAATATCCAAACACTCCGTTGCCAACTTTCTTTCTCTCTCTGCCAGTGTAGAATGCCAGCTGCAGGCACTTGTCTATTATTGTGGTCTAGATAAGTGCTCTAAACAAACAGGGTCAACTTCAAACGGGCTATTTCAAAAACTCCCATTTGATCAATCTTACCAGTACTTGTTTATTATTTTTTTCATTCACTGCTCCTGGTGTGTGCAGTTCAAAGATGCCAGTTGCTTTGGGGTTGGTTTTTCATTTAAGATGACCCATATGTTGCAGTAATTTTGCTGTTTTGCTAGTCGCAGAGAGGGGTCGATTTAGAAAATCAAACTTACATGCACAATGAGATTTTTTCCTTGAAAATGGGCTGAAAAACAGAAAAATGTTGCATGTACAGGCACAATTTTACATGTACAGAGCCAAAGTTACATGCACCAGTGCATATAATACCCCTCTATAGAGTGCCCAACTCACTGACCACCACTTGGAAATTATACTTGTTTAAGTCTCGCCTTGGCCCAAAAGTTTGAAATACAGGATCACCCTGTAAATGCCAATGAATCCAGGCTAAATCCTGCCCATTGTGTAGGCCTCATGCATGAGAGACTTCCGATGAACAAGCCTTTCTGAATCGATTGAAGAGAAACATGTGCACTCTGGGACCAGCTCTACGAGACTTGCTTCATGATTGTTCTCTGTGTAGCAGAAAGAATAACCCGAAGTTGAGACTGATACAAACTGCCCCAAGTAATCATGACAGGAAAATGGCAGCAAGAAATGAAATTAGGATATTTCCTACATGTATTCATGTATACATGTAATTCGCATCACTCATGTGAAGTAAACATTTGGCATGAATTGTTGAATTGTGGTATTAGTGATACAGAACAGGATACTTTTTGAGCTAAGGCATTTTATCTCATCATGCGTACAGCTGGACAAGCAAGGGTGACTTAACAAACACAGGTTGCTTCAGGACTCGAACGTGGGTGAGTTTGTGACCCCTTTGCCGATTACTAGTTACCCAGACTAACTGGACAATTCTCTCTTTCTTTTTCTCCATTCTTTACCAGGGGATGAGGCAGTAGAAGGTGGGGTCCCAGAGCTTCACGCAGCTGTCTGCACCAGTGGCTCAAGTCGCTGCAGCTAAGAGAGTCTGCCTCGGATAGCCTGGATTGTTCTTTAAAAACTCCCAAGGGTTGGTTTTTCCTCATGGAAACTCCTCTGGGTGACCACAGGGCCCGCATCGCCCACTGCCGGCGCACCTAACACTCCTGCTTTTTGTTTTTGGTGGCCTGTTTGTTTGGAGTTGGCGTCAGCTGATTTGTTTTGTACATGTTTAGCAGGGATTGTTGTCTGCCCGGCGCGCCTGCCAAACCGGTGTCTGGACTCGTCGATATTCTTGTTGCCGGCCGCATCAACTTTGCCGCATGTAACATGGTGACGGTGATCACGGAGAAGCTGCAGAATCAGTCGCTGGACGATGTGAAGTTTGCAGATATAGTAAGTAACCAATTTGCATTTGAGACTTTTTAACCACTAACTGCTCCAAAATCCTACAGAATCCCGCGTTGGAGGCCAATTTCATGCAGCTGCTAAGAACAGAAATTTGCTAAGCACCAAAAAAATATTTGCTAAGCAGAAACGGGTTAACAGCCAAAATATCATACAATGTATGTCATTTTTGACTGGTTCCCCGCTGATTTCTGCTCAGCACATGAATTTGCTAAGCAATAAATTCTGCTTGGCAGCTTTGGGAAAATTGGTCCCTGCTCGGCACAGACATTTGCAATTTGCGCATCCAAAGGAAACAGGGTTATTTAGCAAACATTTCAGCATGATTTTGGAGCATTCGGATCAGTTATTATGTAGTTTATTTCATTTCACTTGTGATATGTCTCTGAAGTGTAGATAACATCAACCATGTGATTTTTTTTCGGAATTTTGTCCGAAATCAGACTTTTTGAGAAAGACACTATCAGTATAAGAAAGAAATGCATCTTAGCCTGTCATGTCTAGACCTGTCATCTAATTTTCAGATTTTTTCCCCAAAAATTGACGATATAATGCCTTATACATGTACATGTAAACTGTGTTTGCAACATGCATGTATACATTTACATTCATGTTTACAATTTACATTTATTGCACCTGCCTACTTCAATTTAGCTTTCGACAGGTGTGTATAGATTAAAGGTGTCCGCTTATCAGAGAATCCTTTATTTGCGTTGTCTACCAGTTAAAAAAAAAGCCCTTCCCGGAACATTGGCAAGCCCTGTTTGCTCACAGGAACATGAATGTTGCAGCTTTAACAGTTGATGCCCGTGCAGCGCAGCCATGCGAGGTGTGGTATTATTACGACGGTATTAAATAGATTATTGATAGCGGTGACATGACGGATTGGGATATTGTTCCAGATGGCGGGATCCAGGGGCGAAATTCAGCGGCACATAAAAAAAGGGCGGCTTCAGTATTCATCCATCATTCATTTCACTCGCCGTACAATGGATTTGAAAATGAGGCACCACTGGAAACGTCATGGAGGAGAAAGCATAGATTTATGAAATTTGAAGAAAAAGGCAATAAACGTTTAAATGTACCGGTACATGTAATAAAGAAAATGTTATAACTGTGTCTGTATTAAACTAACAAGCGTCAATGTTTGCAGTTACGGGAACTTCAGACAAAGCAATCAAATTGAAACATCTTGCACATTTGTGCATGCATAATGCACATTTCTTCATTCAACAGCCATCTTGAATTTCAAAACAGGTTTCGGTGTTGAATTTGAAAGCACGCAACCGTTTGATAACATCCTTTGTAAAAAAAACAACTCACCAAATCGAAGGCTTTATATTGAACTTGGACTGTACATCGCTGTATCAAATGTCATATATATACGTGTGTACATCAAACATAATTTACATAATGTACGTACATGTACATGTACATACTTGTACAGCCCATTACAGTGTTATGTGTGCATATATTCACTTGAACATATTACAATTTGACCTGGTCCATGACCTGCAAATTAATTATACTGCATGTGTCCAAAGATGAAACTCTGTTCTGAGGTCACATGCGGTACATTTGTAACACATGTATGGACACATGACGCCCATCCTGCTATCATATTACCAGTTTGTCAGTTTCTTAATCAACGGTCTTTCCTTGTAAACACATGTTAAATTGATATTATTGTTCACCCTGGCAATTTGATTGGTCATTGTACATGTAATTAATGTGCGCATTTAAGGATTGGCTGTTTGCGAACAATCAAATGAGCGTCACTCATGTGCTTCATGTGCGATCTCGAAAGGTCACGCTGGGGTCACTTTTGAACATTAATCATCCGTCGGCCCTGTGGCAACTGTGTTTAAGTGAAGGTCTAAGTTGAGAAATTCAAATGCCAAGAGCAGTGCTGATTTTGATCAATTAAGTCCATTGCAAAACAGCTGGAGAAAAAGACAGGCAAGCTGAGTTAAGCTGGTCTTACAGTTACAGCGCACAAATTGAGTATGCCAGTCATTTTATATTTTCAGGTACCCAACAACTTGGCTGGTTGGGTTGTGTGGGACTGTGTTGGATTGAGCAGGAAACTCATATGAGTAACCGTAGGAATCTGTTGGATTTTAGCAGGGTAGTCCTGGGGAACTACAATGTACATACTTTAGGGGGTTAGGGCTAATGTACCAGTACATTGTACAGTAAAAAATGAGCTTTTACAATGGTCACAAAGCATGATGTGTAGGCCTACTGTTCTTGCACAGACTTCATAGTGAACATGCTCCATTTTTCAACTTCTCATTAAAAAAAACAATTTAAGCTTTTAAAGGAAGTCATAAACATAAATGTATTCACCTTTTCAGTATGGCATTGACTTGAGATTTGCAAATATGTTCCATTTTTCAACTTCTTTTTCAAAAAACCAACTTAAGATTTTATAAGAAGTCATAGGGGACCTATATCTTCACCTTTATACATGTACACGTACATGTACACATTACTTAGGGTAATTATGGTCAGTATGGCATTGGCTTGAGACTTTCAAGCTCTGCATTTCAAGGGCTATGACTGAACAGGAACAAGGCCATCTTTGCATCACAGGGTCCTTGACCAAAGTCAGGAAGATGATGCAAAGACGAAACATCTATTAAAGGTCAAAGGTTAATGACACTTCAGTTCCAGCTTCTCTGCAAAAGCTTCATTTTACAAATAAACATGGAAAGACTATTAAAAAGTGGCACTTGAAAAATGGGTCTGGAGAAGTGAGATTTTGAAATTAATGTGATTACATTGTAAATTCTCATTCAGCCTATTGTGCAAACTGAAGTTAGATATTTAAAGAAGACAACTTGCATGAAGGGTATTGCAGTACAAAAATTGTTTAACTAAATAGTCCCTTTAAAACTGTATCGTGTTCTCATATTCACAACACAGCAAGCGCTTGGAGGAACCTTTAAGAATGATAAAATCTTGTGTCAATGGACTTGGCAAACTTGTGGCGAGTGACGAATAGTGCAAAGGCAATCACAAACTTGAATAATGCACAGGCTGTCGCAGCATTCGGCATCTTTCCTCATTTATTCATTAATCACGGCAGGACACATTCCGTCAGGTGTGAACGCTGACAACTGACCGTGTTCTCGCTCCAAGGATAGTTTTATAAGAAAAAAAGAAAAAAATGGACAATATTACCACACAGCAATTCCTGCCTGGGAAACATCCGGACCAAAATTCTGGCTCTCAACGCCACCTTTTTATACCGCTCGGCATCCCGCCCGGAGAGAAATTTTACACTTTCCACTTGGAGGTGATGAATTATAGATATTGACGAGCATGGAATTGGATGCCCTGACCACCGTCGGCTACCTGTGTGAACGCACATTCCGACGCCCAATTTATTTCCTGCGCCGTTTGCCGAACAGAGCTGACAATCACTCGCCGGACATTTGCCTGAAAATCCAATCTTTTCCGAGGATGCGAGTTGGCAGATTGTCCGAAAGCAGTCACCACGCATTTGTAAGTGTGTTTTTTTATTCCGTACGCGGTCATGGCTATCCTACAGTGGAGATTGGTGCGCATCACGTGTACGGTAGACCTCGCGGTCGTGGAACATGAGCTCCCTGTGTCATTTTGATGTAGTTTGTAAGAAGATGCTCCCTTCCCCCTAAAAAACCCCAAAAGGCACAAATAACAAATATCTCTGACATGTTTTTGTTTTTGTCCCTGAAAATGTCTCACACGATGTTTACCTCAAATAATATTTGACTGATTGATACATGGGCCATTCCATAAATTTGGGGGTCCAATTTTTTTTCCATGTCCCTGTTACATGTGCATGTACATCTAATATAAGATTTTGTAAATTCAGGACACATGATTTAATGCCGTCTATCTCCATGAGTGAGTTATGTAAAGCAAAGCGCCTGTCAAAGAAAAGAAAAACAGTTTGAGGTAAATTTTAATGATACTACCGGTAGCATGGAAAATTGTCACACGTTTGGACCCAAAACTTGTGGAATGACGCATGTATGCATCCATCCTTCAAATTGTCTGATTGAATTAAGAATTGTGCAGCAGATACAGAACATTTATGGAGCACAGCATTGTGCAAATAAAAGTATGTAAACATTGTTTGTACTGTAAAAGTAAAACGAAACATTTCTGTTGAAAACATTGAAAAGATGAAATGAGCCAAGCTTGACATATTATATTCTGATCACAAAAGTCCTCTGAAGTTTTTCCATTGAGTATTAGGAACGTATTGTATCAGACACCATCCAATCAATCCCACATTGTTTTTTTTTTTTGGCTTTTTGTTTTTCTTCAAAATGTAATTTTGAATCGGTCTAGTTTCAACCTTGATATGATGTGAACTTCCTGTCCGCTTGCACTTTTGTCCTCTTTCAAATTACTTGGGAAGGTTTGTTTGATGGGTGTTGAGTTCTTTTTCCAGTTGCTTGGGCGCGGTGTCCCTCAGCTGCCGCTGGAACATGCAGGTGGTTAAATAGGGCGTGATGACTAATTTAAAAAAAAGTGGACAATCGTTTCGTCTCCACTGGGCAGCTCATCGCCTGTGAAACTGAGGAATAGAATTTGAAATAAACTGCCGACTGATTGTTAATGTGATAATAGAGAAGACACGCAAAAAGCATAGTTTCTTTTATGTGTGCACAATGTGTGTGTGATGTGCGCTGTACATTTGTTGTCTGCGTTGACGTGGTCCACTGTGTTTTGTTTGACCGAGGTGGCAATTGTTACCCAAGGCAAAGGCGAGGATACATGCACAGAGCCAGCTGCCAGTCAAAACTGGGTCTACACTTCAAAGAGTTTAACAGATAATAAGTGCCCCCCCCCCCCCCCCCCCCCCCCCCCCCCCCGAAGAGGAATAGTTGAAAATGAGGTGCATTGTGTCGCATTCATTTTTGAATTGTCAGATGACAGGAATTTTCTTAATACGGTGCAACATGTTGTAATATACATAGTAATTTTTGTTTTACACACCTTAACTGTACTGAAGTTGGCTACTTTTTTTAGATGTACACCACCAAACAAAAAACCCCAAAAATACAAACAAACAAATTTGCATTTAATGTCACAACACAAATATGAATTGGCAGATGATAATGGTTTTTTTTGCATAGGGTCCAACATGTTCTACATAACTGTTTTTTTTTCTACACTTCCCCCATAAATTCAACTGATCATGGTGTTACCATCTTTTTCAGAAATGTACATTTTCTCATATGAGTTCCCTGCTCAATCCAACGCAGTCCAACACAACCCAACTTGCCAAGTTGTGGGTACCTGAACGTATAAAATGACTGGCGTGCTCAATCCAACAGACTCCAACCATGCCTTTTTCTTCTGTTTCCCGCTGAATCAAACAGAGTCCAACTTGGCGTTATTTACCAGCCAACAGAATCTCACTATGAATGTGTTCTGTTGCCTGCTGAATCCAACAGATTTCAACAGGAATAAATGATGTTTACTGCTCAATCCAACAGGATCCAACGGAAATGTAAAATAGTTGGATCCTGTTGGACTGAGCAGGTTTGGGGTAAAATTCCTATTTTTCAATACACTGTACCGGTATGTGTGTGCCTTCTGCATGGTGAGCATCGAGACCCTTGCCTCATACCGGGTAATGTTTCTGCCGTAAACAGTTTCTCTGTAAACATCCCTTCCTTCGTGAACTTTTGGTACACTAACCCTTGCCAACCGAACGGAAGTTAAAGTACATGAACTAAAGCAGTGTACAAAGACAATGTACAATTACATGTACATGTACATGTACATCACGTATGTTCAAATGACGCCCTGTACACAGATTGACTGGTGCAGTAAACAGTGTCGGGAGTTTCAGTGAAAAGGCCACAGTAACTAAAGCCTTTATAGATCTCCCAACAAATTGCATAATTTGGTCCCAAGCCTGTGTGCCAGCTAGGAGAGAGAAAGGCAAAGTTTAAAGGGAAGGGTCCATGCCAAAGTAAAAAGGCGGTATTGATCCCCAGGAAGTCAGCTAGGGAGGCCATACCGTCTGAATCAATAATGCTGGAGTCTGATATAGGAGATGGAGAGAAAAAAAACAGTCCTGTGCCTTCAAGCTTAAAACATGTGCCAAGCTTAATACACGCATGTAAAACGTACTGTGTGTTCATGTTCATGCACATGAACATGTGCAATCTAAACAGATTTCCTGACGATATTTGGATTTGGTTCGAATTACGAACTACAGTACATGTACATACATGTAGTGTACTGTTACACATACAGGTTCATACACTGATGTCATATTTTTTATATTTAAAATTTTTTTGGGGGGGGGATTGAAATCTTTAACTTAGGCTAAGATCTCTCATCTAGAATGCCCAGTTTGGGGCTCTGAAACACGTAACTTACATATTCTGTATCTTTAAATTGGCACTTTTTTATGTAATGATTAGTGCAAAGGAATTTGGGTTACAAAATGTTTGGTCCTCGAAAATCAAGGCGCCAGAACGCTAGTCTTTATTGAAGTCATACATGTTTGGCTCAAATTGCAAACCTTCTTACGCAGGAATGGCAGGATAGGATGTCAGGAATTTTTTTGTGTGGTTTTTGGATTGAAAACTAAATGGGAAAAACCACTGGACTGAAACTGTTTCACTGAATCTTCATCACCGCAAGTAAATTTACGAGTAACGCTGGCTCAAACAGAACTTTGATTCTTTCTCTTCACGGGTAAAATGTGTGGTGTTGGGTAAACGTTTGAAAGGAATACAAGCCACAAAAACACATGTTGGCAAGCTGCATGAATTTTTTTTTTTTACCAGGAAGAATGGAAATCTTGCACCTGTTCTGTTTCGTTATCAAAAGAGTTTGCTTTTGAAACAGCGTTGCTTATTCAAAGCCTGAACGAAAAATTTCATAAAATATGTCGACGCGCATGAGTTGGTAATAACATTGTCTCAGACAACCTTGAGAACCACATGGCAACTAAAAAGAGATGCAACATGTACATTTACATACATGTTTATGTATGTTTATTAGCAAATTTTAGCATTTTTTGAAACAGCGTTGCTTATCAAAGCCTGAACGAAAAATTGCATAAAAGTGTCGACGCGCATGAGTTGGTAATGATATTGTCTCAGACAACCTTGAGGACCACATGGCAACTAAAAAGAGATGCAACATGAAAATTTACGTGTACATGTATGTTTATTAGCAAATTTTAGCAACATTTGAAACAGCGTTGCTTATTCAAAGCCTGAACGAAAAATTGCATAAAAGTGTCGACGTGCATGAGTTGGTAATGACATTGTCTCAGACAACCTTGAGAACCACATGGCAACTAAAAAGAGATGCGACATGAATATTTACATGTACATGTACATGTATGTTTATTAGCAAATTTCATGCTTGTATACTCGTACCATGGAGGAATAACATGTTAAACTCCCTCCCCCCCTCCAAAAAAACCCCCCCAAACAACCATGAAATGCTCATGTATTTGATGTCATTTCCTCCTGAAGCAACCTGTTCAATTTCATGTTTGTATACTGTACACTCGTACCATGGAGGAATAACATGTTAAACCCCGCCCCCCCCCCCACCAAAAAAGAAAGAAAAGTAAATACTTTATGTGCATACCTGAACATGTCATTTCCTCCTCAAGCAACCAGTTAAGGCTCAATTTTGATGCAGCTGCTAAGCTGGAAATGCCGCTAAGCAAGTTTTTAGCGCTAAGCAAAAATCAGCTGAGGACCAGTCGCAAGCAGTATATTGAATTACAATTTGGCTGGTAACCTTATTTTTGCTAAGCAGATTATGTTTCGTGCTTAGCAAATTTCTGCAATGAGCAGTTCCATTGGCCCCTCTTTCTTGGTGGAGTACATTTAAGGTCTGTACAACATTAAACTTGAATACTTTATAAAAAATAGCTCTGATTTAACTCTTTCGTGTTTTCTCTTTCGTGTGTTCTTTTTTTCCCCACTAGATACCATACCAGACACGCAGTAAAACAAAGGCCAGGGTTTGGCAACAGCAGAGTATACACCATGTGGCTCTATCAGGTGAGAATTTCCGTCATCCCCGTGAAAACCTTTTAACTCTAACATCCCCAGATCCTCCTAAACCCACCAGGAAGATTTTAGAGGATTTTGTAGGATTGAGGAAGGATCTACAAGATAAAGATCAACTCAATAATGGATCAACCCATGAATTCCCAGATCTTTCAGACCCACCAAAAGATTTTGGAGAATTTGGTAGAATTCAGGAAGGATCCACATGATAAAAAGTCAACCATTACATTCCCACATCCTTCAAAAGCCAGCAAAATTTATGGAAGGATTTTGTAGGACTGAGGAAGGATCCACATGATCAAGATCAACGCCTACATTCCCAGATCCTTAAACCGCCGGATACTTTCGGAGGATTTTGTAGGATTGAGGAAGGATCCTCATGATAAAAATCAACCTTTACATTCCTACATCCTTCAGAACCCACAAGAAGATTTTGGAGGATTTTGAAGGATTGAGAAAGGATCCAAATAGCTCTTTTAACAATTCTAGATCTTTCAAAACCCACCAGGAGCTTTCGGAGGATTTTGTAGGAATGAGGAAGGATCCTCATGATAAATATCAACCTTAACATTCCCCCATCCTTTAACCCACCTGAAGATTTTGGAGAATTTTGTAGGATTGAGGAAGGATCCCCATTCATGTAAGTCTCAACAATCCTAGAACTTTCAAAGCCCATCAGGAGGTTTTGTACGGATTGAAAATTGCACAATGCCTTGCCACTATCTTATTTACATACATGTTCTTGCGATTCGATCCCCCTTAAAAAGTACTGAAGTGTACAAAGAACTTGCAGCAGTGGAGTTTAGAGGGATCAGGATCCCAGCAAATGCCAAGGGAGTTAAGGTTAAAGTAGGCACAGTGCATGTACACACGAGTGCGCGTCTCCGCCGTTAATACATTCATAATACATTCTTATCTGACCGGCCCACATTTGCTGCGTCGGATAGAGTGAAAATCCCTTCTTACCCGCGAGGATTTGCAATTGTGCATTGTGCTCTCTTGTAGTAAAACCTTATCATGAGCATGCGGCGACGGTATCATGACATCTACCGGTCTGCGGCCGAACGTGACTGCACATCGTAAAACAGTTCCCTGAATATGTAGGCCCTCGTGTGCTGTAAGCAGGTGGGATTTCTCCACATTTTTTCGTGTGGTGAAAAACACATTGTAACTGGAAATAGGCTGTAGTTGCACAATTTATGGACTTTTTCTTCCATCACTTCAAAAGATTGTTTGTGCCATGCATTAGAGCTGAGGTGCATTTTGGTTTATTGTGAAATGTGCGTGGGCGTGTTCAGGCATTAAAACCGTGGACGAAATATGACGGAGAGAACAAAAGAGAACACTATCGTCCGCAATTTCCAGCATACGTCCGCGTTTCTAGGATCGTGTACAAAACATATGGAAGTCTTCCTAAATGTTCAAAGTACAAGCAAAAGAGGGACAATAGGACGTCCACGGTTGGAGTTTGATACACGACTGAATGTGTGTGTTGATACTCTTAAAGGGAATATACATCTTTTGCTTTTGCTGTAATTTTCAGAAATGGATGGAATTGGGGGGTTGGAAATATATAGGAAATATAGTTACACTGACTTTTTTGAGGTTTTGGGTTCGAAAATGCTATAAAAACCAAGAAAAACAATCATTTTCCTGTAGTCTGGTTCCCTGACTCCATTTAAGAAGAAACAGAGCAGTTACATATATTGGGGAATTGTAAGGTCAGGGAACCAGTCTAGCTGGCTTGTACCCGTTCATAGGTGTGTAATCGATTGCAAACAAGTGCGATGGTCAACTGGGGTCAGTATTTGAAAAAAAGCCAGTTTTTTCCAACGCTGGTCGGCCGATCAGCGTTGGAAATTGATACAAAAATACCACTTTTCTTGAAAATGACAGTATACCAGGTGCCATGATTTTACAGGATGCTTTACACTGTCATTCATAACAGTCCAGCAAGGTATTTCAAAATGATTTGGTAGTTTTATTTTTTGATGTTTGCAAATGTTGTATTTTCCCTTTAAGTATTACAAATAAAAATGTCGGTCCAACTGCCAAATCAGGAGGGGACCACATAATTTTTAAGCATTACATGTATACAACGTACATGTACATTTTGTACCTATGACGAATGCAGCCTGGGAATTCAAACTTGTGCAAATTGAAAGGCTTTGCTATTGGAGAGATTTCTGTCAGTTTCTGGTTGGACTTCAACTGTATACATTACATACATGTACATGTACACCTGTACATGTACACCACCTTTCAACCCTGTGTCATTACTGTAGTCAGTTAACACTCACTTGTAATAACTGATCAAAAATATGTGTACACGATACATACATGTACACACATGTACACATGTACATACATGTACCCATTGTAAGTACAGTACATGTACATGTACATGTACATGTACATGTACACGTGCAGTATATATCACCGTAATTATACAGTACATGTACATGTACCTACTGGCATATTGTACAATGTACAAGGTCTTGCCATAGGGGTGTCTGGGTTGCTTTTGAACACCCTGTTATGTGAGCTTTTATTGAACACTTTTTAGTTGGAGTTAAAATGTGTGAAACTAATTTCTGCATCTTGGATGCCCGACCTTTCCATTTGAGCCATAAAAATCACTCAATGGAAGTGTGACATTTGGGTTTACACCCACACAACCAAGCTACCGGTATCATATCTGCTCCATTTGATACCTGACTACCGTAACAAAAGCTTTTCTTATTGTGTTTTGTATTTTGTGTACACAAAGTGAATTTGGGTAATGTTTCGCAGAAATTACAAAAAAGGTACAAATGTCATATTTGGATGTAACACTGACACGGTGTCAATGTTACATCCAAAATGACATTTTTTGCTCATTTTTGGCAAAATACATTGAAACGATTTCAAACTTTCTGCAGTAGTGAAACACCCAACAACAAATATTATGTACAGCAACTGCTAGCAAGGCATTCATGCTTTTCTTAATATGATCATATGTCACACATTGTTCCCCAACCCGGTAGAATTATGGGTCTGCACCCATATATGGGTGGACACCTGCATTTTGTGTGTTGTAAATTTCAAATGCTGCCAAATATCTCTACAGCTATAGATTCCTTGCATTGTAGCCATCTTTGGGGTGTGTGCTTCTGTTTCCATAGGGATGTGCATAACAAGAACTCCTGTGCATTCACTGTTACTGAATCGCCTCAAAGATGGCGCTGAATACAAAGGGTCTATGGCCCATCGTGTGCACCGATACATCATACATGTTTTGTCTGTTTGGTGTTGGGTCGTCTGTGGTTCTGGGTGGCCGACTCTATGCACTTGGCACTTCCTCTGTGTCCAGACATGACTTGGATGAGGTCACACACAGGACCCTCCAGGGTCAATGTGCTGAGAGATAAGTCAAGTCATTTGCTGCCTGCCTTATTGGATTTCCCTGGTCTTGAAAAAAAAGGTCCTTTTTTTTTTCAAGGTACTGGTACGAAGGAAATCCAGACTCCAGACAAAACAACCTTGGTTAAATGTACAGGTCAATTTACATGTAAACATGCACATTTACAGGTACATGTGCTGTATAGTCATACATGTACCGGGTGTGTAAATTTACATACATAATGTGTACCTGCGTGTACCTGCGTAAACTGTAGTGTGTACATGTATGCACATGTACACGTATGTACTTGTACATGTATATGTTCATGTATGCACATGTTCATGTATGCACATGTACATGTACATGTGCTTGCCGAGAAGGATGCTGTTCATCGCCCGAAGGTACAAATGTATGTGTGCCAGTCATTATTACTTGATGTAATAAATATTCATGACATGCATATTCATAGAACAGCACCTTTGAATTGCCTCAAGTTAAAATGTGTCTTGGAATTATTTTTACTGTTTGTATGCAGTACATGTGTACAGTACAAAGTCAACTGAAGATGTGCATATTAGTACAAAAACCATACATACCAGTGTATTACAATTCCATTTCTGAAATTTAAAAGATACTGTTTTCTGTATAATTCTGTTCATGTGTTCCCATGAAAGGTCATGCTTTCAATCATAAATGTGCAAATGTGATCCATCTACACCTACATTAATTTGTATGCGCCACATGTACAATGCAGATGTACAGGACATGAATTCCAAAACATGTAACAAAACAGTTACAGATGCTTGCCCAAGCTTGTTGACTGCCACCTGTCCAGCCATTAAACTTTAGCCCCAGCGCCAGTAATTCATTCTGGGCAAGTTGAAGTTCATAACATCCAGGTGGAAGTTTTCATATTTCAGCTCTCGTGACAGCGGGCTGGTTCCGCCAATATCCTGGGCCCCCAGGTTTTTCTTTTTCTTTTTTTGGCTCGCGTCCAAAACCTTTTGGAGGCTGTCATATCTTGTTGTTTGTTTTGGTTTGAAATGCGGAGATTAGCTGGCCTGTCGAAGTATCGGCTTTCTGTGTATTTGTGCTGGCATATTGCACATATGTATATGCACATCACGCACTTGTACAATTTACATACATTAATAAAGGTTTCACTGGATGGGTTTGACTAGGCTGGCTGCCAGGATAATTTATTTATTTATTGATGTATTCTTTTATTTATCCAGGGTAGACCCAAACACTTAGGAACCACATGCAATTTTCATTGTGTCCCCCACGTCTGCATTGAAGTTCAGAATAAATTGATACATTTGAAACCTAGACTTGAAAGTAATGTGTAGAGGCAATGTTACCCCCCCCCCCCCGCCCCAGATACTGAAAGTGACAGAAAAAGTACAAGAGAACTTTGTCAAATCCTGGCCAACATCATTTTCATGTGTATGAAACCCCCAACAATATTCATGAAAGTCTACATGTACAGTACAACAATTATGAAGAAACAAGGTTACCCTCAACTCAAGTTGAATGATAATTGGATAATGTGGAAAGCATTTGTCTTCAAATGGAAACTTCAATTTGGAATTCTCAACCAGGGTTGGAAACTGGGGGGGGGGGGGGGGGCAGTTTGAGTGCTCTGCACAAGTCGTGATTCTGTGCTTAGTGCTGGCAGAGAAATAATGCACTAAATGCATGTACCGGTAGTTCAGAATTGTTAATAATGGGATGTACCGGGTACGTGCATATTGCACAAGCCAGCGTGATTTGTTTACCAGTGAGATATGCAAAGTATGCTACATTTAGCAATGATTCTCTGCTTACGTTAAGCAAAGCCATGGAATTCGGCAGGGGTCCATCCCTTAATTAAAGTTCACAGACAGTCAACAATTTCTTCCACTTCCTCTGCGGTGCACGTACTGTATGTAAAAAAAACAACAGTCGGATCACATTCGTGTAAACACTGTGACTCGTCAAATTCCATCAACAGACAAGAGAGGTAACTGGCAATACATTTTGTACAGCTGGCATATCAATCACCTTGAGTTAAAGCATGTGATGCTGTGACGGCATAGCTAAATTTACCAGGCAGAGAGGAAGGGTTAAGGATTTTCTGTTCTTAGATCATTGTTATTCCTTAATTTTACTTTCAAAGGCAGTATGATACAGTGTACAATATTAAAAACACAGTACTTAACTTGGAGTCATATCTGTACTTGAAACTACAAATGATATCATGGTAGGTTTACTTGATGTTGACATCATATTCGGACGAACATGGGTCCGACAAGTTTTGCACGTACATGTACACATGCACATAGCTGCACATTGATTTATAAATGATGTGCGTGTCTGCAGGATATTGTCTAGATCAGGTTACATGTGTTGTCAGCAGGGTTACATTGTAAAATGGTTTTGAAAAGTTTTGACAAGTTTCATGTGTGTGCATGCAGATTGGAATAATACTAGGGAATGACACACTACCATACTGTAGATGTACATACCAGTATGTCTACGTACATGTATGCCTACGTAATGTGAAAAGTAGTGAGAATACCGGCAAAGAAGACACGGCAATGCCGACCGTGATCGATAGCCAAGCTTTTGGTGTACATTACACCTTCGTCTGCCCTGAAGAAGGTGCATCACTGAAAGCTTGGCTATCAATCACGGTGAGCACTGGTTCTTTATTTTTCACTACTTTCACATAGCATCTTGTACTACACACATGTACATATGTAGGCCTATACATTTTGTATTTATAACATGATTACGTCAGCAGTATACATGTACATGTAGTTTTTCCGTTGCCAACTTGATATTCTCACATTAAATTATCACACAGGATCCCAGGATTTCAAAGGGTAGAGGTTACATACAAAATTTGTAAAAATAAAGATACTTTATTAACATACCCCAGTACATGTACATTGTACCACATGGCACTTTTTCTTATTCGTTGTTCCACATAGTATGATGTACACAATTTAATCGTACACACGGTACATGTACATACCACTTGTATGAACACGCTGTTCTGTTTAAAACTGCTGATTTACGCCTACTGGGAATGCAGGCCTTCTCCTGCGATTGCTCAACTTAAAAAAACTGATTTACTGCGTTTACAATTGAATGTGTACACGGCCGTACTCGTGTGTGGGGCTGATCCGCCGTGTCCATTAAGCGCAAAAAAAAAGAGGGGATAAAAAAAAACCTCCTTCAAGACATGAAAATAACTGAGCCCGACAGAGCGCCGTTGAGATGGACATCGATTTCACTAATGGTGGCGACTGCCCCGAGTCTTTAGGAAAGAAGCTTTTTTTTCCCTTCAATCTTAAGCTGCTCGTAAGAAATGACAAGAGATTATCAGTTGCTTTAAATGCAAGATGTCAGATGAGGCAAGGGGTGAATTGCAGTTTTACATGCGGGAACATGTACTGTATAAATGTGTGTGTGACAGGAAATGGTTCATGAATAGAATGGATAATTTGTCAATGCATGCACTGTGCTTGTCAGTTTATGAAATGAATACGTACTTTCAGAATAACAAAAGAGAAGTATATTGCAAGCTTTATTGAATGCATCAATAATAATAATAATGCAGAGGCTTTGTACTTTGCTACATGTTAGTACAGTGAACTTTTCCTTTCTACCCCTACTCGATAGTACCTGGACTTTTGCCATCTGTATTCAAATATCTTTGAACAGTGTGTGTTTTAATCTATAGGTTTGCATTTGCTCGCTTTGATGAGTTTTATCGCTCATCCAAATCCATAAAGGAAGGGCAGAGTTAATGGAAAGCGTCTCATTTAATGAGCACATATGCAATTTCATGACAGACTGAACAGGATTAAAACAAAAAGCCGCTATCGGACTGTAAAAAGCAGTATAATCAATAATTTTGCCTACGGACAAAGCCTTTGTTGATTATTTTCTCGACAAACAAGACAAGACAAGCCTACCAGTAGTGAAGATCGTCCCAGAGCACAAAAAATTCATTTGAAATGATTCAGTTTGAACAATGGGCAAGATTTATTCCATTCGTGGGAGGGAATTCCCACTGATCTCTATAAAGACTGGATGGGGTATGCCCAATGCCCATACACAGTACATTTACATATTTTGGCTTTTAGACCAGTTCGCCATGGTCCTCCAAAAATGGCCGCTGACATACGAACGTTCTGAGCTTACATACAGCGCACGCTGTATCAAGATTTGATGTGCATTTTGTTTATGTACACATTTTATGTTATTCTAAAAAAGGACAAGTTTCCAAACATCGAAAGAAAAAGTGAAATGTGGCAATCAAAAAGTAAATCACGACATTTGATAAACTGTGAACTGTGGTCAGTGGCGGTGGTGGACAATAGGTAAACCAGGTGAACAAGGGTGTTATCACAACTGCCTAGGATGGCAACTTGTCCTTTATAGAACACCAACAGGTCTCCCCAATGCTTCAAATGGCTTTCTTCTGCGGTTCTTTATATAAAGATCAGTTGGTAAAAACCGGTAATCCTTTGCAATAGTGCTGCTCGTCACAAGTGACAGTATCAACGTGACAGGACACTAGACTGGCCCTCTGGGACCAGCAAAATAATAGAACTGAAACAGGCATTAAATTGTTATTCAAACAACTGGAAAGTAAGGGAAGCAGAAGGAATTTAAACTTGTCCTGTTTTTTTTTTTCCTTTCTAGTTACAGGAAGTAAAGGCTCCCCACAGGTAATCAGCCAGGAGAAGCTCACCCCAGAGCGTCCAAACAGATCGCACCCTACCACACCTCAGACCGCTGTGCAGAACAAGACGCTAGAAAGCGAGAATGCCATCAACGAAGCCTTGGCCATCACGCCGGCTCCCCCGAAGAAGAGACACTGCCGGTCTCTGTCGACGGGCGAGCTCATCGAGCGCAAGTGGAGGCCGCGCTCGTCCAAGATCTGGCGGGCCCCTGTGCAGAATCGGCGGAAGTGCGACGGGCACCAGACTCAGCTACACCAGAATCAGCTACACCAGAAGGCGGGCAGCGGTTGCGGACACACTGCCGGACTGACTTGTATCCCGGTCACGGGGTATAACCCCACGGTCGGAGAGTTCTCCACCCCACCGGAGTCGCCCATCCCGCGCCCGACTTCCTCTGCCTCCTGGGACGGATCCAGCTCGGGGATCCCTTACTGGCTGGAGCACGCCTCCTTCAGACCCGTGCTGTCGCCCAGGGCCCACAGCCGCTCCTTCTCAGAGGACAAGGCTTCGGAGAGCTCGGGCTCCGTCTGCTCGTTCTCCGGGAGCACCGACTCGGAACTGGACAGAGGGGTGGTGCCGCAGAGGTGCCACTCGCACCCCTCGGTGCGGAAAAGCGGGAAGAAACGGCGCAGGGAGGAGGAGGCGCGGCCCAAATTGGACTTGTTCAAAATGGAAGAGGTAAGTACTCTGCCTATTTTGGTCTCACTGCATCTCCAGATTGTGTGACTGTTACCTGTCTTTTTGAGTCGTGTTTCTCCACCCTTTACAAGTTTCGGAATGTTTAGGTGTTGTGCTTAGAAATTGACCGCAACAGGATTTGCACACTTCTGCAACCGCCAGAATGCCATATGGAGGCTTCCATCAATTGACCCATCCTACCCTTAGTTTTCTGGTGTGATCCAACTATTCCGAAAGGACTCGATATCTGTTTATAGAGTCACGGGATGGTTCTCCATACGTTATTGGTTCAAATCCCACCTCTGCCACTATATTTGTTCAACCTAATCTTGATAAAACGTGAACCGAGTCAGTTTCCCATTTGTTTTACTTGACGATTATCAAAAATTCTGAGTAAAACTGACGATAACGTTCAATGGTAAATATAGAGGGGAAAAAAAATTAAAATAGGCCTGGATGCATTTGTGCAAGAAAGCTAATAAACGTTGACGACCATATCTATCCACTATCATCTGCTTCCTCTGTTTGAAGTAGGCCAAGTTCTATGACGTCTGCCCTGGTACAATCGGCAGTTAAAACGAAGATGGATCATTTACAGAGTGTTCTTAACCTATGTTTATCGATCATGTAGAGTGCGCTGTAGCTTTTTCTATAAGTACATACACTGGTACATGCATGCTCTTTAGGGTAAATTTAAGCAGTTTCTACTCCTGGTAACATGCAACTACCGTACAGTGTATACATGCGTACACGTCCATGGAATTGTTCCTGTAAACATTGAGTTTCCTGTTTTCATGGATGCTGTGTGACAATGTGCGACGAGGAGCAAAACGTTCAAGTCTTCCGGTTTATGCATCTAAACATGTTTAAAAAAAAAAAATCAGATTTTTCAAAATTCTTTTGTCCTTCCTTTCTTCCTACACGTACGCATTATGACGTCCTCTTTGAAACTGACTCGGGAGTATGAAATGTACAATGTGAGAAAAATTATTTTTAGCAGCGGTAACAGTTTTGTATGCCATTTGACATTTTATATCACAGAGTAATCAATTGGACAACAAAAACCTCTCAATCTCTGACACTTTTGTCCTATTTGCCGCACCCACCCTTAAAAAAATGTTCCCCAACCCACAAGTCACATACAATGTACTGACCTTTGAATCCCCCCTGCAAGCTGACAGCACATACAGGGCTAGGTCCCCCTTATCAAGTCTATACTAATTAATTTCGCATCAACCGTACCCCTTCACCCCTAATCAGGAGAGGTGTGGAGGTTATCTTGAGCTGTCTCTTACAGGAGTGGGTGTTGAAAAAGTGTTTGGCTTTTGCTTTTTTGACACCTCCGTTATCGGGCCTCTGGTATCTGTGCGTGCAGCCACTTTTTCTTTTCAGAGGTCGATTTAAGTACATGAATGTGTCTGGATATTGAAAATGTTTATTGTAGGTTCGGTAATCAAGTCCGATCGCCATGATTGACACTCTCAAATACCTGTTACATTTAGTTATTGATTGTTCATGTACATGTATGCACATAGTACAATGTACAAAATGTATGTGTTTATGTACAGTATGCACATTTGTGGTTGCAGACCAGTAAATAAACTGCCATAGACCTCAGTGATGTACACACGTGCCCTTCCCAAATTATCAAAAATACTCAAAACGCTCCAAGGTGTTTGAGACACGCATCAAATTAAAGCGTATTTCATCATCTTTCCTTTTCTGATCAATTTTTTGGGTGCTAACCAATAGCTTTTGGGAGAAAATTCCATCCAAAGATGATCATCTCTAAAAGCAGGCCTGAAGCCCATCACCATTTTGAAGAATGATACCTACGCTCTATTGCAAAAGAGAGCCATTTTAGGTCCTACTTTCATCAGAATTTTACAGAAATACAAGCGTGCAGTCCTCAGCATGGATTCCACCCTTCTATTTTACAAACTATCAAGTTCATGATTATTGAAAAGCTCTAATACCGGAGAGTTTGAGGGCATGCAAATCGTGATATGGCAGGCGTGGGCAATTTTCGGCCTATTTACTGGCCTGCACCCTTTAAGGACTACCGGTACGTGTGTATATTTTTGAAAATGAAACATACATACATACACGTACCGTAGCTTTCATTTCAAATGATTTGAAACATGTACATTGATTTTAAATCTGTTTGTGATAAGAATATCAGCTGTATGGTTTCCTTTTCAGTATGTGAACCACAACAGACTTTAGGTTAGAAGACTCCCGGTAGATGCATTTCAGTATTGTTTATTCTCCAAGGTTTTGAATAAACATCTGCATATTTGTGTGCCCTGTTTAATAATATTTGTTTAATAGTATTTGCAAACCATGCACATTATTTACAAACCTACTTTGTTGAAATGTACGTGTACAGTAAAATTTCCACTACTATTATTTTGATACACTTGTGTTCCTGAAGCACATTTAAGTAAGTGGGCTGATCTGCAATCTTTTATAGAAAAAGCTAATAATATTTGGCCTCCTACACAAGTGAAATGTAAGCTGATTGCCTGGACCAGGAAACAGGCCTCCTTGCTGGAGGGCAATAATGGGCCTATGACAATCCACCATCAATCAATTAAGGCCGGTCATGTATACATATTGACTGAGCATATCCCCAAATGGGTCAAATTCCAAATGGGTCGACATTCTTAAATGGGCCAAACGGATTGTCACAATTTGCGCAGAATGAACCAATCACCATCTGCCATCCGTCGTACATGTTGTGAAGAATATTAACAAGAGGTTGAAGTGTGTACAGCCCATACTCTATCCTCACTTCAAATAGCGAAAGGCAGTTTGAGAACTTGACCCAGTTACGAGCAAGCAAGTTAATCACAGTGATGAAAAATCAAGAGGAAATGGTTAAAATCAGAGATTCAGAAATTTATGTCCTTCAATTGTGTATCGGTTCTACTCATCCACTTCTTATGAAGCCCACAGTGTATCTTCAACTTTATTACTCTGTATTGAATTACATACATGCACACGTACGGTGTACTGTATTTTGTATTTGGCCCTCATACATGTAGACATGCATGGCTCAAGTGAAACTAGCCGAGCATTAAATAATTTTGTTGGATCAGGTCCTCTATTGCCAACACAGTGCAGGGCTTGTAATAATTGCCCATCAGCGATGGACACTCTATTCATATCATGACGTAAATGTCTTTTACATTGTAAGTCCAGTATTCATAGGCATCAATGGAGTCTGTGAAGCTGAAGTGATAATGTACACGGACCCCCACATCGCATTCAATACACGGCAGGTATTAGGCTTGACTTGGCCTGGGAACATGCACACACATGTACACCCACATTTGTAGATGTTGTTGGGAAAGTGTGGGACTTGGAGTTGAGGTTTTGGAAAAACTGTACCAGTACGTGCATGATGCATGCATGTTCCTTTGGATTCCGTCAAATTAGTCAAATTCCGTCAAATTAGTCAAGTGACTGTTTTTAACGGTTAAGAGCTCCCAGCCTACATACCGGTACATACATAAAGCAGGATTGACTGGCTGTGACCGTTATGTATTAAACTTGATACCACTGCCTACCGCTTGCCTGCTTTTTTCTGTTGACTGAATTTGACTAGTCAGAGTGCTTGCCTGAAATATGATCTGACTGTTGGTGACTAGCCTGTGTGAAAGGCATGGCAGGGGAAGAGCATTGATTTGTTGAGAGTCTGTGTCTGTTCAGACAATAGGAGGGTTAAACAAACAAAAAAAGCAATTTAAACAGCAAACTCCTCCACTGAATTAAAATCGTGACTTCTTCAAATTTCCAGTACCCTTGATTCCCAGCAGATATTCTCCATTGGCGTAGCCTTGGCTTCATAAAAAACCCATGGATGATACATTTTATTCAGTTGATGCTTAAGGATGAGATTACCAAAGCGTGTCAAATCTCCTGGGAGTACCAGTTCATGTACATCAGATCATGTTCTTTACAAGTCAGACATTAATTGTTCTGATGGCTTCTTTTTATATTGAAAATCCGTTATCAAATGAAACTGAAAGTACATTAGCCGAGACCTGCTTTGCATGTGGTATAGGAGTACGATGTAAATCTTATCAAGTTTATCCGTACATATTTATGTGCAGTGTTGTGTACGGTACTCACATACTGTATCGTCTGACCCCCCAAAAAGAAATTGCTCAATAGAAAAACAGAAAAGAAGTTGAATGTGTTTGAAGTTCCCTTTCAGGCCTGCAAATGCTCATTGTACTCATCAGGACAGGGATCCGGCTAGCCAATTGTGCGGCTCGCTGATAAACAAGGCCCCATGCGGTGCTTGGCTTCGGCCGAGTTTTTCCAAAGGAGGTGACTCGCTCGCCTTGATCTTTTTAGACTGGAGACAAATATTTGAAATATTCCGATGGTCTTCCCCCATTGATTAGATGAGTATCAGTGCACAGGTACAGGGTTCACAGAGTGTGGTTCTGGCGGGATGTCTTGATGTTCTTTGCGGTAAACCGCTCGGACTTGGAAGCGTGCCAGGTTTGTCGGAGCACTTGATTGGCACCTGGCAGCCCTGACTTCTGCAGTCAGTTTTTTTATTTCGGGCTTGGATGACAGAAGTGTGAAATCCTCAAGTGTATACATACCGGGACGTGTACATATGTGCAGGTACCGGTACCATATCTTGTACATGTACATTGTGATTAATTTCTGTGACGTACCGGTATTGAGGCCCCAGACTTATCAGATGTCTAACATTTGCACATTATCAAAATAGAACTGCCGATCGACGCCCATGAAAAAAAAGGTAATGCGCCGGTGCATGTGTATTCTAACCATGAATCCAGGGTGAAAAATGGATGTAAAACAGCTAGACGGGCTACAACCCTAATTTTCTATTACATTGTATCTGCCTGTACCGGTACATTAGCAACCTGGATTTTTTTCTCAAATACTTCTCTTGAAAACTGAAAAATCGGTGGGTGGTTTTCACTGTGCCTTAGGAGTAGTGATGATACTGTACATGTACACGTGTGTAAGTTATATTTGTTGGATTCCGTCGAATTTGGCAGGTCTCTCACACTTGGCCGTTAACCGATTCAACAGACTGCGCAGAAAATACAATGTATAATATCGGTACGTGCGGGGTTTCAGGGTTAATGCAGAGATATTTGCTGCAGATTAATTTCTGACTCTGAAAAACTGACAAACACTTGACACAATACCCCCTGTATACCCCCAGAAGAGTGTCAAGTCTGGGCCATTGACACCCCTGAATTTGTGCCCCCCCCCCCCTACTTCTTTCCCACTCGGCCGGTATTGTCAGTTTCCATAGAATACTGATCACTGATAGGCTATAACAAGACCAGGCTCCACAAA